ATTTGATTGAAACAATCAAATTCACTCAACTTTTAATATGGAACCTATCAACCAAATTTCAAGATACTGAATTTGTGATGATCAGAACTTGAGAACTGCGTTTTTATTTTTCTGTAATCCCCCCCACCCAGTTTTGGGGTGAAGCGCAGCGTTTGAGGGTAATGGAATGTCTATACAGGGAGGGACTGTGCCACAGGGGTAGAGCATCTGCTTTGCATGCGGACGATCCCAGGTTCAATCCCCGGCATCTCCAGTTAAAAGGTTTGGGGGGGTGGGGTAATTATGAAAAGCCATGGCTTGCTGCTTACCAGTTGGAAGTAGACAAGACTGACCTTGATACACCAAAAGCCTGAGTCAGTATAAGGCTGAAACACAGGGCTATTTTTGGGCAGGAACGCACAGGAACGGGGTTCCGGCTGGCTCCTGAATTGGCCACGCCCAGCAGGAACTCATTAGCATAATAAGACACACCCAACAGCAGAAACTCATTAGGATTGGCTACATTAGGGGGTGTGGCCTAACATGCAAAGGAGTTCCTGCTACAACAAAAGCCCTGGGTTTTGACAACAAACAAGGTAAACAGAATAAGAAGCAAAAGGTGGGTGTGGCTGGTAGCATGGGGGTGTGACCTAATATGATAATGAGCTGTGTTGTCAGGGGTGTGGCATAATATGCTAATGAGTTTCTGCTGTTGGGTGTGGTCTATTATGTTAATAAGTTTCTGCTGGGCTTTTTCTACAAAAAAAGCCCTGCTGAAACATACACACACCCTGCCCATGACATTGTTTTGATATATGAGAAACCATAGCTATGTGGATTTGCTGTCTGATGACTGTGAATGGCTTGGCCTAAGAGAGCTAAAACCTAGGACAGAATGTACTCACTGTTCACTGTTGTTTGTGCATTAACAAAAAAAACCACACACACATTGTGCACGATGCATAAATAGTAGGCATATTATCCCATAACTTACTCTTATTATGCAAATAAGTGCTGTATAAATTGCATATAAAAACTTACAACTTGTGTACACAACACAAGTGAATATACAAAACCAACGATGGGAGCCAAAACCAAGGGCAGAAATATGAGTATAAAAAGGAGTTAAATGGAGAACGTTTGCTCAGCCATTAACCCAGCATAGTAGTTATTATTGTATTTGATATATTTTCCAAATTGCCTCACTAACCCTTGTTTGTTTCTTTTGTCTCACTAGCAAATCAGCCAGAACTGAGGTACATGGATTCCATCTCATTACGTTGTTAGGGTTTAATAAACCTTTTCATCACAATTGGCCTTGTTTTGATGTTTTATTATTGTGCATTTAAAAAAGTAACACCCCATAATACTTTCATCTGCATGTTCCCCAGTATTTCACAGATGCAAAACAAGGAACAAATATGCATACACAACACTCCATTTAATGTGAGTAGGAACCAAAGTGTTCTGTGAATGGGTACATGGAGGGAAGCAATTCAGGTAAACACCAGCAGAAAATGGAAACTGAGGACAGAGGCCATTTTGAATCAGCTGTCGGAAGAAGTACACAGTGTCAAGTGGGATTTGTATATTCTAAATTTTGGTCTCCTGAGACAGGACGACATTTACAGCAGTAGATTTGTACCCCAATTTTCACACCAAGAATCCCTTCCTGAGCCACTTCCTTCCTCTTGCCAATGTACAGTCCACTTAAAGACAAATTGATGGAGGGTCTTCTCCATCTTCTGTATGCCGTGTTCACGTTTTCTCTGGTGTACCTAAACTGGCAATGAATATTGTTTGCACACTGGCATCAAAATCCCATTGTTTCAGTTTTAGGGCTCACACCACTCATAAGGGGAGAGCACACTGCTCACGATCCTCCCTATGAGAATATTTCTCCTCACAGAGGGATCTGGTGGATTTCTTGTTGAATAGTTGGAACTCATACATGGTACATATTGAGGGCAAAGCTTGCATGCACCGGAGGAGTGTGGAGATGCGCCTAGATCCTAGACTGACACTCTAACCATGAACACTCCAGTGGCTTAGAATTATACAGAGCCAGTAGAGTAAGGCATCAGATTTTGGCTATCGTTAAACAGTGGCTCTGCTATTTTCAACAGTAGTTGGAATGATTTAATTTAACGTTATTATTTAAATCATTTTTAATAAAAACACCTTTCCACCCAAGTTAGAATCCCCAAGGTGGTGAACAGTCACAAACATTAAATCAAGGTGAAAAATCCATACATATATAAAACAAATTCAATTACACAAAACATATAAACACATAGACACCTGAATAGGAAGGCCCACCCTACCCGCCCCACAGATCTGACACCACCAGCCCAGCCTGAAGCGTGGCATGGGCGGGATAACCAGGCAGTCCTCCAGGAGCTATGACACTCTATGCCTACCATAGAGATCAGAAGGAAATGCTAGAGCATCACATGATGCCACCGTTTCCCCCTGCCACCCGATTCTTTCCAAACGGGGGAGGTGTTCTCAACGCTGGGGATCCTCCACCCACAACGGGGGGACTGGAACCCTAATCAGTGAGTAGAAGTGACCAGTCAGAGAGCAGACGGTGGGATGAAATGGAGCCTAAGAAAAGGTGGCATAAGCAGGCCTGGTGAACTGGAAGAAACTTAACACGTGTTATATTCTCCTTGCATCTCAGATCTAGGCAAATAGCAACTCCATCAGGGCTATTTCAAGTCAGAAAAATGACACTGTGTGGTCCAAGGCATTAGTTAAGTGCTACAAATGTACTGATTAAATGCTAGAAACACCTACAGAGAGTGATGGGGAACAGAAAGTACTGGGAGATGTTTGCACAATTATTGTTGGCTCTAGTGGTCTTTCCCCTGGTCCCTTTCCCCATTCTTCTCTCCTTGGTTAACACAGCAGTTGTTGCCAGGCATTTTTGTCTTTCCACCTGAGAAATCACTGACTTTCCCACATAAATACTTGCTAACTTTCCTTCTGATGTGCTGGTTACATTATTCTGATGCCAGCCCAGAACCCCACAGTTGGAATCAGCAGGGTCTACTTGGGTGGGCGAGGCAGTGGTCTCAACCCATGCACGCCTGAACTGTGGCTTCAAAGCAAAATTTTAACTGAAATATGAAAAAGAGATAATAATTTGGGGATGTAACTGAATTATATGGAGAAAAGTTACCATAAACAAGATTAAAGTTTAGATACTTTGGACGATCAAGGCATGAAAGTGGACTGTTTTGGTTCTCTGGGTCTTTCTCAGAACTTAATGTTTTAAGAACATAAGAGAAGCCAATGTTGGATCAGGCAAATGGTCTATCTAGTCCAACACTTTCATACAGTGGCCAAAAATACCAGGTGCCACCAGGAGGTCCACCAGGTCCACCAGTGGGGCCAGGACACTAGAAGCCCTCCCACTGTTGCCCCCCAAGCACCAAGAATACAGTGCATCACTTGCCCCAGACCGAGAATTCCTATCTATACCTTGTGGCTAATAACCACTGATGGACCTCTGCTCCATATGTTTATCTAATTCCCTCTTGAAGCCATCCATGCTTGTAGCTGCCACCAGTTCCTGTGGCAGTGAACTCCATGTGTTAATCACTCTTTGGGTGAAGAAATACTTTATTTTATCCATTCTAACCCGACTGCTGAGCAATTTCATTGAGTGCCCACGAGTTCTTGTATTTTGAGAAAGGGAGAAAAGTACTTCTTTCTTGACCTGCTCTATCCCACGCATAATCTTGTAAACTTCAATCATGTCACCCCTCAGTCATCATTTCTCCAAGCTAAAGAGCCCCAAGCACCTTAACCTTTCTTCGTAGGGAAGGTGTTCCAACTCTTTTATCGTTCTAGTTGCCCTTTTCTGCACTTTTTCCAATGCTATAATATCCTTTTTGAGGTGTGGTGACCAGAATTGTACACAGTATTCCAAATGAGGTCACACCATCGATTTATACAGGGGTATTATGTTACTGGCTGATTTGTTCTCAATTCTCTTCCTAATAATCCCCAGCATAGTGCTGGCCTTTTTTATTGCAGTCACACACTGTCTCAATATTTTCAGTGAGTGATCTACTACGACCAGGACTTTTTTGGTAGAAAACCCCCAGCAGGAGCTCATTAGCATAACAGGCCACACCCAACAGCAGAAACTCCTTAGCATATTAGGCCACACCCCCATGTTACCAGAGGTGTGGTTATCCAGCCACACCCACCTTTTGCTTCTTATTCTGTTTACCTTGTTTGTGGTCAAAACCCAGGGCTTTTTTGGTAGCAGGAACTCCTTTGCATGTTAGGCCATACACCCCTAATGTAGCCAATCCTAATGAGTTTCTGCTGTTGGGTGTTGCCTATTATGCTAATGAGCTCCTGCTGGGCGTGGCCAACTCTGGAGCCAGCCGGAACTCCGTTCCTGTGCGTTCCGGCCGAAAAATAGCCCTGACTACGACTCCAAGTTCTCTCTCTTGGTCAGTCTCTTTGGGGCTATTATGTGGGAAATCTTCTCACAGAAGAGTGATTGTTGAGCTGATGCACAAATTTAGTCTTTTGTGGGGGAGGATGGGGGAGGAACTAGGTGTTCCAGGACACCTTTAGTGAAGGACTGGAGAATGTTACTCTTGCACGATGCTAACTTGGAATAACTTCTCCTCAGAGAGATGTACTTCAGCTCAGGTCAAAAGACTCCTCAGAAGACTTGGGCTAATGTTATGCTTTTCACTGTTATCAGCAGAGTTACCAACCTCATGGTGGGACCTGAAGTACTACTGAAATTACAACTGATCTTCAGAGTACAGACAGCAATTCCTCTGATCTTCAGACTACAGACAGCAATTCCTCTGCAGGAATTTTAAGCTTTAAAGGCATCTCATCCATGTTGAGCTCTCTCCTCTCCACAAACTCCCCATTACACCACCCCCCAAAACTCAGGAATTTCCCAAGATGGAGTTGGCAAACCTATGTATCAGGCATAGTTACAGATCAGAGGATTCAGAGAATATTACATACTGGGACACCTGGGTCTTTTGTCTCTACAGATCTAGAGACACCAAAGGATTCCTGGGGAGAATATGTAGGTTGAAGGAGGAACCTTCTATTGTCCTATAGATGTCCTATTGTCCTATAGATGACAACAATGGGAAAAGTGTACGTGAAGTCGGTGTAGAGGATTACTTTAATGTTTTCACTGCTGGGAGTGATGTCAGGGATCAGGTGCATAAATATTTGTGACTAATATCGGGATGCTTTCCTAAAAATAGAAGCAGCTCGAACTGGAAATGCTGGTGATTTTAGTGAGATATCACTACTCTAAGACTGTCCAGAGAGTCTGCTTTAGATTTAGAGGTTCCTTTTAGTGAAGGGCTGCGGGAACAAGTAGTCTGGAAACAGCAGGGATCGCTGTAGATAGTGCCTTCTCCAAAACAGAGAATTCTGCCTCAGCAACTACAGTTTAAACTGTTGAGTTGGCAGCCAACCCAGTTAATTGGGGTCTTAACTGGGATCTCTGCAGTCAAATTCTCTGGCCAGTGCTCCACACTGGCTAGTTGTTAGGCTGCGCTGCAGAGTTTGTTTTCAAAATTTCTTGACCATTGCTGAGGTGGATGCGAGAGGCAAAAGGCAGCTAGGCCAGCCATTCTCAAACTCCTTCAATGGGATCCACTTCTAATCTTACTGAAAGTTGACATGGTGTAGTGGTTAGAGAGTCGGACTAGGTTCTGAGAGACCCAGGTCTAAATCCCTACCCTGCCATGGAAGCTTGCTGCTGGGTGACCTTGGGTTAGTCACTCTCAGAGAAAAGCAGCATATAATTATATTTTAGGACCCATTTGGAAATAACTACACTATTTCCCCCCCTCCAGAACCCAGCACTGAAGCATTGGTTAACACTGAACAATATTTTTTTATATTTTTCCTGCTTGGTGGTAGAAAGTGCCATCAAGATGCAACGAGGAAGAGGAAGAGGATTTATGCCCCATCCTTCACTACCCGAAGGAGTCCCAGAGCAGTTTACAATCTCCTTTCCCTTCCCCTTCCCACAACAGACACCCTGTTAGGTAGGTGGGCTGAGAGAGCTCTGTCGAGGACTGCCCTTGAGATAACAGCTCTGAAAGAACTTATGATTGACCCAAGGTCACACCAGCAGCTGCAAACCCAGTTCTCCCGGATTAGAGTCCGTGCTCTTAACCACTTCGTCAAAGTGGCCCTCAAGTGTTTTAGAGAGTGGATGGGACCAGGTGGGGCTTTTACCTAGCACTCCTGACTGGCCATTGGAGATTTGATTGGCTATGTAGGTTTTTGAAAACGTTGCTTTGGCAACAGCTGCTACCACAGTGCAAGGATCATCACTGTGTGACTGAAGGTAAGCTGTGGCAGCCATTTTGTGGCTGGCTCTGCCTCCTGCAGCAGCCAGTCTGTGACCGCCATTTTGTGCCTTCGCCCACCATGCTCTGTCGGAATTCCAAAGATGCCCAGGGTGTTCAAGGCAAGGGACGTTCAGAGATTGGTACAGCCTGGGTCATCCAGGGCTTTTCTTGCTTACTGTTTATAACTAGATAGCCTTACTGAACAACAGGCTGTATTTCACGGTCATTTCTCATGCTAGAAATAACCTCAAATTTATCATCAGGCCTCACAGGGCCTTCTCTCCTACCTCACCCCCCTGTTCACCTTTCTCTTTCTGGGTTTTGCAACCCACCTGTGAGAAGCCCATTTTGTGCCTTCGCCCACCATGCTCTATCGGAATTCCAAAGATGCCCATGGGCTCAAAACGATTGGGGACCCCTGCCACAGGGTGTTCAAGCCAAGAAACGTTCAGAGATTGGGTCATCCAGGGCTTTTCTTGCTTACTGTTTATAACTAGATAGCCTTACTGAACAACAGGCTGTATTTCACGGTCATTTCTCATGCTAGAAATAACCTCAAATTTATCATCAGGCCTCACAGGGCCTTCTCTCCTACCTCACCCCCCTGTTCACCTTTCTCTTTCTGGGTTTTGCAACCCACCTGTGAGAAGCTGAGGACTTTTTGGCCCTGAATCCCAATCTGAGAACCACTGAGCAAGGTCCAAGGTTTCATGGAGGCCGTTTCGAGGTGGCATGAGAAAGGAGAAAGGTGCGGTAGTGGCACCATGCCAGTCTTCAAGGCAGTTTCTGTAAAGCCAGAAAATACACACACGCACTCAGAATGCCAACTTTCCATCCTAGCTAAGAAAAAGGAAAGGCTTAATGGCCTTGCAGAGCCTGACAGCAAAAAGGAAGCACTTGAAGAAAGTCTTGGGAATGCTGCACATGGAAAAGGACTAAACTTTACCTGCTTCCCTGCAGGTACAGCCCGTGAGGTCCAAGCTACCTGGTACACTGCTGCATTGCAACTAGGGGTGTCAACATCCAGGCAGGGTCTGTGGATCTCTTGGAATTACAATTGACCTCCAGACTACATAAATCAGTTCTTTATTAATAATGTATTTGTTTAAAACATTTGTTCCACTTCTCCTGGAGAAAATGGCTGCTTCAGAAGGTGTACTGCCGGGCATTATACCCTACTGAGTTCTTTCCCCTCCCTAAACTCCACTCTCCCAGGCTCCACCCTCAAATCTTCCGGTATTACAAACCTGGAGCTGGCAGCCCTAGGGGCAACTGGGACATTTCCCTCCCTAACTGCCTTTCCTTTGGCAACTTGTACCTTAGAGGGAGCAAGCTGTGAGGAGGAATACAACAGATGGGAAAAGTGGAGGAATGGAACCCTGATCTATGACCCTGAGAGCCAGTTTGGTGTAGTTGTTAAGAGCACGGACTCTAATCTGGGAGAACCGGGTTTGATTCCCCACTCCTCCACACACAGCTGCTGGTGTGACCGTGGGTCAGTCACAAGTTATTTCAGAGCTGTTGCCTCAGGAACAGTCCTCAAAAGAGCTCTCTCAGCCCCACCTGCCTCACAGGGTGTCTCTTGTCGGGAGGGGAAATGAAAGGAGATAGTAAGCTGCTCTGAGACTCCTTCGGGTAATGAAGGGCAGTGTATAAATCCAATCTCTTCTCCTCCTCCTCCTCCATATGACCCCACCACACCACCACACTGCTTATTGTAACAAAACAACACATCTGAGCCTAGATGGCCCAGGCTAACCCGATCTTGTCAGATCTCAGAAACTAAGCAGGGTCCGCCTTGGCTAGTTCTTGGATGGGAGACCACCAAGGAAGTCCAGTGTTGTTGCACAGAGGCAAGCACTGGCACACCACCTCTATTCATCTCTTCCCTTGAAAACCCGAAGGGATTGCCAAAACGTTGGCTGCAACCTGATAGCACTTTCCACCACCTAAGAATAGCCTTTGTGTGAGAGAATAAGCAGGTGTCTGATCTACCAATTTGGCATGCCCCGTGGAAGGTGGAAACGGAAAGACGCCTATCAGCACACAACAGGCCAAGTCTCGGTGTTAACCTTTACCTTAATGATGCCGACAACTTGGGCAGTGATAAACTCTCTGAGGGTATAAAGTGAACAGACAGAGTTCTTCTCGACACTCTTGCACTCAACGATGATCCGGGTCCTCTTTGCTGTGCTTGCCTTGGCCTCTGCGGGTACGATTCCAACATATCATAAGCAAAAGGAAATACTATATTTCATGCAGTACGCAATTAGCTTCTGGGATCCATTGCTGCCACAAGATACAGTGATGCTCACTCCTGTGATAAATGGCTTTTAAAAAAAGATTAGAGGGAACTTTCTGGAGGCTCAGCTGCTCAACAGCTATTAGCAATGCTAGCCAAACACTGAATCTCCTCGGATAGAGGTAGTGCATCTCTGAGCATCTCTTACAAGGGACAAGCAACACCTCCATTACATTCTGCTTCTTGGGGGCATCTCTTTGCCCACTGTGGGAGACTCAGTTCTGGACAAGGTGGAGTATGGCCTGATCCTGTGAATCTATCTGGGACTGCTTGTATGGATTGACTACTGGTTGGTTAGACATCAGTCCAATGTATATTCTGGATGGGAGCTGTCAAAAATAGCTGCAGAAAGGGAGAAACGGGTACAAAACGGAGAGTTGTTCAGTAGGGAGTGAGTTTATTGTGCAGCTAAAACCCAAGAAATTTATCCTGGCTGCTTGTCTATTTGTTGCATCTGTGCCTTTCGTTGACTACCTGTAGCTCAGTTCTTTCGGCCACCTTTGTTCTGGTAGGCCACTTAAAATGGCTCAAGGAAGCTCTTGCAGACCTGCAAAAGAATGCTGTTAATACATACCACTGTTTATACCAGGAAACATGGAGAAGTGTTGCCGTTTCCCATTGCACATCAGGCATTTGTGATGCTTTGCTGGTGGCAGACAAACACATGGTGCTGACTCTGCCTGATTTGAGATAGGAAAAAAACCCTGTTATTTTCGGCCCCAGAACTCCAACAGCAGCCACAAGAGAACATTAACTGGAGGGGGGGAGGGGGCACCCAAGTCAGAGTGAAAAGACAATTTGTACAACCAAAATTTGCAACAATATACAAGTGCCTTGAACACAGGTTGCAAAGAAATAAAAATCTAATAGCTCTCTCTGATTGCCACAGTGACTCATAATATCTGTCTCATGTCACTTGCAGCTTTGGGATGTGGAGTCCCAGCCTTCCAGCCTAACCTGTCCAGAGTTGTGGGGGGAGAAGCTGTTAGACCCAACAGCTGGCCATGGCAGGTAAGTAACCGTCTCTCAATCCTAGCAAGAGGGGTCCCCTCCCCCTTTTCCTTGTGATTTGCTGGATACAACGTAGGCAGAGTTTTCACATGTCTAGTGCAGTATGTTATTTTTAAATCTGTAGTGGTTCATTGCGCTGACTCTAATCTGGGAGAACCAGATTTGATTCCCCACTCCTCCACTCGCAGCTGCTGGATGACCTTGGGCAAGCCGTAGTTCTGTCAGAGGTGTACTTGAAAAAAGAGCAGTTACTGTCAGAGCTCTCTCACAGGCAGTGTTCCCTCTAAGCTGAGTTAGTGTGAACTAGCTCACAGTTTTTTTAGCCTCCAGCTCACACATTTTTTGTCTTAGTTCAGGAAGGATGGCTCCGGAGCAAGCTAATTTATGCAGTCGCCAAATCACTCGCTTACAACTTTGCCAGTAGCTCACAAAGTAGACTTTTTGCTCACAAGACTCCGCAGCTTAGAGGGAGCAATGCTCACAGGGTGTCTGTTGTGGGGAGGGGAAGGGAAAGGAGTTTGTAAGCCGCTCTGAGACTCCGAGTGAAGAGCGGGGTATAAATCCAATCTCCTCTTCCTCCTCCTCTTCTTCTTCTTTCATCTATCATCTATCTATCATCTCTGTGTTGTTTTACGTGGCAGGGTATGAGCTTTCGTGAGTCACTGCTCACTTCAGTGACTCACAAAAGTTCATACTCTGCCACAAATACTCTTTTCTACTGCTACAGACAGACTAACAGGGCTACCCATCTTGTGTTGTTTTAGTACATATTGTTTTTGCTGTGACCCCCCCCCAGGCATGTGCCACTTCCAAGGGGGGGGGGCAGAACCTAATAGACTTGTGCTAAAATATCCATATAGTGAACACAGGGAGTCCAAAATCCATGGTGTTGCCCTCCTTGCGGGGGAGGTGTGTGTTATGGGGCTGATGCTCCCAGCCATGGCTCACAGGCCTGCCAATCCATTGAGGGATGTCTGAATTATAATGGTAACAATGTTTTCAAAGAAAGGATAAAAATTTTGGCCAGGATTTCAGATCTGAAACGGCAGTGCAGACATTTTACCTCAGAATTCAAAACATCACTACTTTTCACATGTCCCTTGAGGACGCTGATGTTAGGGTAGCGTGCAATATGAAATTATTGTACACTGTCAACTGGAAAGCAGTTTGAGTGAACAACGCTTCAGGCACACTTCCCGAACGGGACAGAAGCATTTTTGTGTGAACAGGTAAATATATTCCGTCAGGGACCAGTTACTAAAACGGGTCTGTCTGAAATGACAGAAAAAATCTGTTAGTGACCAGTTCATGAAACGGAATACATAGGCTGTCTGAAATTGGCCATTATTAAGTACCACTTTTGATGACACATCCGATTCTGATAGATATTTAAGATCGGTGCAAAGTCTGCTACCGCATATTATCAAAATACATATTGGCGCTTCCCACCTACCCCAAACAGCGAAAATTGAAGTGGGGTTGTTCTTTCTGAGGAAAGAGCATTGAAGACTTATATAGTGTCTTGGTAATGTTGATTTTATGTATAGGTTTACAAATGGAGCATCCAATAGGCTACGAAAGCCCACAGCAAAAGCTCTTCCCGCATCAGATCTCCCACTTTCCCCAGCCAACAATCCATCCTTGCAGCTGCCATTGTCCTCTCCTGCTTCCAATCTTGCTAAACTCCTAGTTTTGACCACACTTTCATTATATATGAACTGTTTCTTTGCCCTTCCCACCGCTTTGGTTAGCGACACTTCTCCCCAAAACTGGAGGGGGAGAGATTTCCAGGGCATTAAAGAATATATTCCCAAGCAATCAAGGAACATTTCATATTCTTCTGTCAAGTTCCTACCTACCCGTTTGTCTGACAGGCAAGAACCAGAACAATGGTTTTCATGCGAACTGAGACAGCAAAACACAAGGTTATTAAACATTAGAGCACATCGACTATCAGGCGCTGTCAAATACAGTCTGTCAGGTTTCAAATATTGAAATGAAGTATGAAAGCCAGCCATCCTGGGTTGTCAAATACCAGTATCAAGCTAGTTTGGCCTCAGGTCTGAACATATGATGTTACAGTCCCTCCACTTGAATTTGGAGGCAATGTCCTGTGGGTGCAGTGCACAGACAGTGCGGTACAGTGGTTAAGAGAGTCAAACTAGGATTGGAGACACCCAGGGTCAAACTCTCACACTGCTAAGGAAGCTTATTGGATAATTCTGAACCAGACCCTCTTTCTCTCATTGCATCTACATCGCAGGGTTATTTCTGTGAGGATAAAAGGGAGAAGTGAAGAATGTTTTAAGCCACGGTGGCTTCCCATTAGAGAGAAAAGAGTGGTGTAAATAGCTAAATAAAACCAATAAGGTCATGTTGTTGTTGTTCAGTCGCACAGTCGAGTCCGACTCTCCGCGACCCCATGGACCAGATCATGCCAGGCCCTCCTGTCTTTTGCCATCCTCTGAAGTTTGCTCAACTTCATGTTTGTTGCATCTATGACACTGTCTAACCATCTCATCCTTTGCTGTCCCCGTCTTCTTTGACCTTCAATCTTTCCCAGCATCAGGGTCTTCTCCAGTGAGTGCTCCCTTCTCAATTGGTGAGCTTCAGTTTCATTATCTGGTCTTCCAGGGAACAGTCAGGGTTGATTTCTTTTAGGATTGACTGATTTGATCTTCTTGCAGTCATGTACCCACTTTCAAGGCTGACCCTATGACTTTGCTCATTTCCAGGCCTCTCTTCAGTACAGTTCCAGTGGCAAATGGCATCACACATGTGGGGGGACCCTTATTGCTACCAACTGGGTCATGACGGCAGCACACTGCATCAGGTACACAAAATTTGGGGCTTCTTCAAGCCTAGAACAGAGCCAGAATGCAATGTTGAAACTTTGGGAAGTTAGAAAATTCCAAATGTGTTTGAGTCTGAATGACTGTTCCCCCAAACGACACTTCAGTATCCAAGCAAAAATGCTGGGTGAGCGAGACAGAATTCTGGGATGGATTACAGTTTGCTTTGATGTTTATTCAGGTTTTTTTTAATGAGGACAACTCCCAATAATGGAACTAGGCATAGAATCTAACTATGCATGAAAGATGTAGGTCTCTTTCTGGATTGCACATTTTCCAGATATTTTTGCCCTTTAGACAGATCCACTAGGGAAACATAAGTAAAGTAAAGGTAAAGGTTTCCCTTGCTCGAAAGCCAGTCGAATCCAACTCTAGAGTGCGGTGCTCATCTCCATTTCCAAGCCAATGAGCCAGCGCTGTCCAAAGACATTTCCACAGTCATGTGGCCAGCATGACTAAACACCAAGGCGCACGGAACACTGTTACCTTCCCACCGAAGCAGTACCTATTTATCTACTTGCAATTTCTTGCTTTCGAACTGCTAGGTTGGCAGGAGCTGGGGCCATGCGACACACTCAGGTCTCGAACTGCTCGAGCTCAGCATCTTAACCTCTGAGCCACCATGGAAACAAGTTTGGGGATATTTTCTCTCTAACATGACGGGTTCTCCACAACATCCATTCATTTTCTTGTTACTGTCTTCACACGAAATATAAGCGACTGCACTTTTTGTCGTGAAAATGCAGTCCCAGCTTCTGAAGGATGAGATGTGGAATTGTAGAAGTGATGGGATGATGCCACTGGGTTGCCAATTCCAGCTTGGGAATTTCCTGGAGGTTTGGTGATGATGCAAGGGGGCAGGCAGCTCAGGAGAGATATGATGCCCATGAGTCTCCCAACGAGTCTCTGAAGCGGCCGTTTCCTCCAGGGGAACTGATCCATGTAGTCTGGAGATCAGCTGCAAATCCTAGAGATCTCCAGGCTGACGATACGAATCATTGTTTTATCAAACTGTAAGGCAAAATGGTGAAATACAGTAAGCAGATCAACTCTGCCAGCCCCAGCTGTTATGTTTCAAGGTGACAAGAAGTACAAGGCAGAGTGGAACTATGCAGAAGGCAGCTGGATTGATTCTGACTAGCTGAAAACATCAGTGGCCGGGGAACCTGGCAGGCAGAAAGCTGCTTGGTGTCAATCAATTCAGGCATTTGAACGAAAATGCCCAGTGCAGACCTGACTGATCTCTGGCTGTTTTCCCTCTTTTGCTTTCTCCAGCTCTTCTCGGTCCTACCGCGTGCTGCTTGGGAAGTATGACCTGACAGCCAGTGAGAAAGGATCACTCACAGTGTCTGCACAAAAGATCGTGGTGCACCCCAAGTGGGACTCGAGCAAGGTTTCCAACGGGTAATTTGACAGCTTTTCTTGAAGCAGAGGATTAAAGATTAAGGTTGCCAGTTCCTCTCCCTTATACCTCTGGTTTGGTGGCCAGAATATTTTGGAGTCAAATGGGGTCCTTGGAGTATCATCCGCTCATGCGCACTTGTTCAGCCTGCAGAGTGGTGTGCTCTCTTCCAGTGCACTGTTTCTCATGATGGCTTTATGGGCGACTGCAAAACGCTAGCGCCTACATTCTACACTAGAATAATCCCAGCCACACAGCCAACAGTCCGAGCTAGTTGGTCCTACCCAGGGGTCATTTCGTAGAAAAAGGAGCTCATTAGCATAACATATTTGCATATGCCACACCCCCTGACATCACCGGAAGTGTGTCAGAAGGCAACACCCACCGCTCAGGCTCCACTGAACTATTTTGGATGGCTAGCTATTGGGGGGGGGGGCGACGTGCAGATCTGTCCTCACAGAGGAGGGAGAGCTTGTACCTGAATAAGACTTGGTCTTAAAGGTGCCACTAGACTGTGTTGGACTGGGGGGCCGGGGGGAGCTCTGCAACTTACCTGGCTGCTTCTTGCTCTGACTGAGGGCTGCTGAGAGCAGGGGGTGGGGCTTGTTGCATGTGCCCGCCCCCTGGGCTCTTTACTGCCGGAGCTCCGCTCCTGTGCGCTCCTGCAGGAAATGACCCCTGGTCCTGCCACGTTCCCTGAAACGGGGAATTTCCCCTTTTCTAACTAGGGGAAGAATGCATGATCTTTCCTGCAACATTCCAATTTATCTTGATTCCCCATTTCTGTAAATGAAATGTGAATAATTATTTTCCATTCATATTTTACAGACTTTCTTCTCTACTGGTCCCAAATGCCCAAGGAAGGGGTCAATAAGGAAACAGCACAGGGGAAGAGTTAATTTCCCCCTTCCCCAACACTGTGTTACCAGTCCATATTAGGATCCCATCCCGGGGGGATGCTTTTTAAATCTATGCTACACAGGGGGGGGTTGATTGTGAACACACACACACAATGTGAACCTGCCTTATACTGAATCAGACCATCAGTCCATCAAGTTCAGTCTTGTCTACTCGGGCTGGCAGCAGCTCTCCAGGGTCTCAGGTGGAGGTCTTTCACATCACCTGCTACCTGTTCCTTTTAACTGGAGATGCCGGGGATTGAACCTGGGAGCTTCTGCATGCCACATAGACGCTTTACCACCGAGCTGCAGTCCCTATGTAATGGGTGGTTTGAGCCATAGTGTTTGTGCATGTGCATTTCTGTGTACATGCGCTACAGCCAGGATGCATCTGTCCTGTCTCTCATTTAACATCTAGAAAACCAGAGGAAGGGGCTGAAACCTCACAGGTGACAATGCTGGTTACCCACATTGACTACTGTGTTGAAAATGTTGTAAAATAGTCAAAAAGTGTTTAATACTTAGACTATTAATGGATCTTGCTCTATTGGATATTCATTTCATCAGTGCTGTCTCCTTGTGGTGCTTTCCCTTGCCTGGAGGTAAACGGATCATTCCGTATAAGTGACAGATTGTAGGGCAGCGATCAAAATAATCTAACAGAGAGCTTTTAAATTCTCAAAGGGAGAATGGCTGTTGGCATCTCCTTCCTGGTAGCCTGTAGTGCATCTGGAATTTTGGTTGACACCCAAGACCACCTAATCGAGCCTAATCCATGTATTACAAAGTCCTTGCATCCTCTGTTCCCCCCACCCCCATTCTGAGAGCCAGTTGGGTGTAGTAGTTAGGAGCACGGACTCTAATCTGGGAGGACCAAGTTGGATTCCCCACTCCTCCATATGCAGCTGCTGGTGTGACCTTGGGTCAGTCACAAGTTCTCTCAGAGCTGTTCTCTCACGTACCATTCTCGAAAGAGCAGCCTTAAATTTCCTGGTGGCAGCCGGAATACCCAGTAGAATAAAATATAAAGAACACTTTTAAAGGGAAACCAGACCTCCCCAATTAAGGGGACATCACAGTGACAGATTGTAGGGCAGCGATAAAAAAAATCTAACAGAGAGCTTTTATATTCTCAAAGGGAGAATGGCTGTTGGTATCTCCTTCTCTTCCTGGTAGCCTTTCGTGCATCTGGAATTTTGGTTGACACCCAAGACCACCTAATCAAGCCTAATCCATGTATTACAAAGTCCTTGCGTCCTCTGTTCCCCCCACCCCCATTCTGAGAGCCAGTTGGGTGTAGTAGTTAGGAGCACGGACTCTAATCTGGGAGGACCAAGTTGGATTCCCCACTCCTCCATATGCAGCTGCTGGTGTGACCTTGGGTCAGTCACAAGTTCTCTCAGAGCTGTTCTCTCACGTACCATTCTCGAAAGAGCTCTCTCAGCCCCACCTACCCCACAGGGTGTCTATTGTGGGGAGGGGAAGGGAAAGGAACTGAATCCCCAGTTGTGCGTGGGCCTGATTTGCATCAGGACCACAGTGGGCAGTGAGAAGAGGTTTAAGCCTTTCCCTTGTGTGGGAAATGGTCCCAACCCGAAATGGTCACCCAAAGAACTGCTATTTGCCCTGCTGGGGAAAAATTTATGGATACTCCTCCATCTTGCATGACTGGACCTAACGTCTCTCGGGTTTGGACTCTTCACAGCAAACGGTGCGTCCCCAAAAGTCCTCCAGCAAGGCCGCCTGCTTGTGGTGAATCACGCGACCTGCTCCCAGTCCAGCTGGTGGGGCAACACAGTCAAAACCAGTATGGTCTGCGCGGGCGGTGATGGCATCATATCTAGCTGCAATGTGAGTATCATCTGGTTTGGGAAGGAAGGAAGCCGAGCTCTGCAGCTTGGAAGCCCACGTTTATCAACAGGGCTCAAGCAGGCCAAAGAACCAATTTTGTGCTGGGTGATTTCCTAGGCATGGTTTGAGCAGTGACACAGATTTTGAGAAATATCCATGCATCCTCCTACAACAGAAAGTTCTGAATGGGAGCTCCTTGCAGACACAAAGGCAGTGCCTCCTGGGGTGATGCGAAACGCCTCTTGCTCCAAAGAGGTAGAGGGAAAAGTCAGGATTCATTGCTCAGAACTGAAGGCTTCTGACCAGTCTTGAATGTTGGAAAGAGTTCTGTTAGGCTTTAGAGCATTGGCAAATTAGTCATTTTCCAAGTTAAGATTTTTATTAGTAAATTTATATCCGTCAGGTAGGTTTAGACACTTATCGTCTCCATCCCCATTCTGCTTTAGTTATAGTGCAAAACTAAGCATGTATAAAAAGGTAAAGGTAAAGGTTCCCTTGCTTGAAAGCCAGTCGAATCCGACTCTAGGGTTGCGGTGCTCATCTCCGTTTCAAAGCCGAAGAGCCAGCGCTGTCCAAAGACATTTCCGTGGTCATGTGGTCGGCATGACTAAACACCAAGGTGCACGGAACGCTGTTACCTTCCCACCGAAGTGGTACCTATTTATCTACTTGCAATTTCTTGCTTTCGAACTGCTAAGTTGGCAGGAGCTGGAACTAGAGACGGGAGCTCACTCCGTCATGCGGCACCTGGGTCTCAAACTGCTGAACTACCGACCTTCCACAGCCTGCAGTTCAGCGCCTTAACCACTTGAGCCACCGCAGCTCATGTCTACTTGGAAGCAAATTCTAATGAGTTCAATAGGACACACTCCCTGGTACATGTGCATAGGATTGCAGCATGTGTGACCATCTAGAGCGGGGTGGCCAAACTTGCTTAGCATAAGAGCCACATAGAATAAATGTCAGATGTTTGAGTACTGCAAGACAGGAACAAATATTACACGTTTTTATTAGAAAATATGCAAATTTGCTTTTTTTATTAACATTAAATGAGACTGCCAAAAATAAAAAACAAAAGGGGTAAAAGCAGATATTGATAATGATGTTTATTTGTCCAATGATATTTATTTGTTTGCTAATGATATTTAGCTTCCCCAGCTGCCCTGCTGGGAGTCACACAATATATGTGAAAGAGCCGCATGTGTCTCCCGAACCACAGTTTGGCCACCCCTGATCTAGAGCAAGGGTCACCGACATGATGCCTGTGGCCACCAGCCTTTTCCTGGTGCCCACCAGGTGTTTTCAGAAAGTGGGCAGGGCTGGTTGGAGTTTGTATCCAGGAGGGTCTTCTGATTGACTGTGCAGATTGAAAGGCACCCTGTTAAACAGAGTTTCTGCCTTAAATCTTAAAGAACTGGTATGAGTGTCAAGCATAACCTTGCTGACATTTTGTGGTTGCCTCCACTTCCTGCAGCCTCCATTTTGTCGTCACCTGTGTGACTGTGTCAGAGTTCCGGAAGGTGCCCACGGGCTCAGAAAGGCTGGTAACCCCTCATCTAGAGCACCAGTTTGCAGGGGTTGCCACAGCAGAAGGGATGTGGGCTTTCTGCCTCACTGCAAGCCGTTCCGCTGCTCAAACATGGCAAGGGATTGCCTTCCAGGAGCTACATTCAGTTGTGTTTTTTTGCAGGGGGACTCCGGCGGTCCGCTCAACTGCAAATCCGGCAGCAAGTGGGAGGTGCACGGGGTGGTCAGTTTCGGCTCTTCTCTGGGATGCAACTACGTCCGCAAGCCTTCCGTTTTCACTCGAGTATCTGCTTTCAATGACTGGATCGCTCAGGTAAGTTCTTGCAACGTGTCACTTGGGTGGGTGGGGGGCTGATTACTTGCTAGTTCAGAGAGATGCAATGTCAAGAGTGCGCTTGGCTGCAAAAATCTTCAAGAGATGGTGTTATGTATTGTGTTATAGCCTGAATTATAGAATGAGCCTGAGTTTCAGTCACAAGCTCCATAGACTCTCAGTATCCAAAAATCAACAGCCCGATTGGCTGTCATTGTGCAATGGGCCAATCAGAGAAGACTAAGACTTTCGGCGGGAACAAACTCTACTGGTCCTAAGCACTCACTTATGATTGGACTTTACTGTTCTAGGGGTGTGGTTTAAAAGGTAAAGGTCCAGGTTCCCTTGCTCGAAAGCCAGTTGAATCCGACTCTAGGGTTGCGGTGCTCATCTCCGTTTCAAAGCCAAAGAGCCAGCGCTGTCCGAAGACATTTCCGTGGTCATGTGGCCGGCATGACTAAACACCAAGGTGCACGGAATGCTTAGCCAGTTCTAAACTGTATATAAGTTGGAGTTATTCTAATAAACTAAATCACTGATTAAAGAAAGACCTGCCTGATTTCGAGTTACAACAGATGGGGAGACTTTCCTTCCTACTAGGGCCCAGCTACAGTCCCTAGGCCTGGGTCAAGTTGCTTCCCTTCTGCCTGCTGTAACTCTGGGAAGTGATCCAGTATAGCAGGGATCCTCAACATGGTGCCCATGGGTGCATGGTGCCCACTGACTCTTTTCCTGGTGCCCGCTGTTTTTAGGAAGTAGGCGGAGCCAGGTGGAGCTTTTGCCCAGCAGGGCTTCTGCGTGGCCACAGGGAATCTGATTGGCCGTGAAGGTTTTAACAAGTTGCTTTAGCGCAAGGATCTTCACTGTGTTACTGTATTTTAAAAGGCACCCTGTTAAGCAGAGCTTCTGCCTGAAATGTTGAAAGAGTTTGTACTAGAGTTATGCATAACCTCATTCCCTGACCTTGTGTGGTTGGCTCCACCTCCTGTGGCAGCCATTTTGGAGTGGATTCCAACTCCAGCAGCAGCCTTTTTGTGGTGGTGCCCTCCGCCCTCTGCCAGAATTCCAAAAGCGCCTGCATGCTTAAAAAGTTTGGAGAACCCGGCAGTGCAGTACAGAATATGGGTATGGAACCTTTCACAGGTATCCCCCGCTTCCCCCTTCAGAGCACACAGAAAGAAGGGGGCCTTGAACCAAGAGGAAAGGTTGGATATAAATGTTTAAATAAATAAATAAGGAGGACCAGGGAACACCAGCCACAGATATTAGGAAGCCAGAAATAATTATCTGTAAGACTGTGTCAGTAGTTACTGTGGCAGAATGGGCCTGCAGGCTCTATTCTGCCCTGCCTTCCAGGATTTTTGTTAACACCTGGAGTTGTTTGTCTTTTCACACTTGAGTAGCCTGCCACCACCAACCAACCTTTGTAAGGAATTGCCCACTGGGAGGGTCAGGACCAACGCTCCCTCTAAGCTGCGGAGTCCTGTGAGCAAAAAACCTACTTTGTGAGCTGCTGGCCTTAAAGTTATGAGTGGGCGATTTGACTACAGCACAAATCAGTTTGCTTGGGAGCCATCCTTCCTGAGTGAAGACAAAAAGGTGTGAGCCGGGGGTTAAAAATCTGTGAGCTAGCTCACACTAACTCAGCTTAGAGGGAACCCTGGTCAGGACTCCCAGCTTCCTTTCCCAGTTCGGAGGCCTTGCCTCTGTGTCTCCTGCTGCCCAGTGCCAGGTCACCATGGAGACAGGTTACTGCCTTGTGAGTCCCTGGAGGAATAGCCACTTGCCAACTGCCTGCCTCCCCCCCCCCGGCGTTCCTTTTAAAATAGCATGTAGGAGACAGTGGAGGTCTGTGTGGTACAGAGAGCCACTGCCAGTATCAAAAGTTATAAAGTATTTATTAAAAAGAAAATGTTCACATGCATACTTTTAGCACAGCACCAGATTGAGCAAGGGGTTCAAAAGAAATGGTTAAAATTCAAATCCTCTGTCCCTTTCTATATACATGCCCTATCAGATATTAAAATATAAGACAGGCTCTTTAGTTTAGGAGTTCTAGATCTCTACAGAAGTACCATTACTTTGACGCTTTCTCCAGCTCTCCAGGCAAGCACGTGGTCAAAAATGGCTGCTTTCTCAGTGGACTGTCTGCTGTCATGGATGTAGCACCCCCCAAAAAAGAGACCTCCTTCCCATTGCAAGGATTTTTTTTATCATATCTGTTTCTCTTCCCACTGACCTGGTCAGGCCAGGACAAGGAAGCTTTTCCTGAAGCTTCTTCCTGGAGATAATTCCTGGATCCATTCTAGTCTAAAGTCCTTCAAATCTCTGTTCCCTGCTTGGAGAAGGGGAAGAGTTTGACCCACCTATTATCTCTCCTGCTAGATCCATTAGCATTTGTATGAAGGTGAGCTGAGGTGCCTCTGGGAACCAATTGAACTGACCCCCCCCCCCGGTCTGTTCTCTGCCCCAAGGCGGTGGGACTTTTAAAATCCAATGTGGAGGTTTTGCACATTCCAAACTTTCCAGGAAAAAATGCATTTCTTCACAGTTGCTTCTATAATTTTCATATTCAATGCTCTCTTATCTACATCTGCCTGGACCAGGGCCACATTTTGTAGTCATTCTCAGCCATAACTTTCAGGCAGTGTGGTTGCCATGCTGGGAGGGCATTTTCTGTTAACTGGCCACTGATTGGGAGCTGGCCTTCTGCAGAAAATCCTGGGGCCCCAGGAAAGACCTATGCATTCCAGGGGGCCATTTGTTGAAAGTTTTTGCACGCTGATAGAGAGATGTATGTGTATATTGTTACAATCTGCATGTACAATAAAAATTGTTTTCTTATGGACAAGTCCTAGCTCTGTTTTTATACTGTAGGGTAATTGTTGCGATTCATGTAGTTGCCCTGAGCTTTTGGGAGGGGAAGCAGGATATATACATACTTTAAGCAAATAAATATTTCAAAAGAGAAGACAAAAAGGCAAAGAAATCCAAATCTCCTGCTAACTGAAATGTGACACTGTGGTGTAGTGGTTAGAGTGCCAGACTAGGATCTGGGAGACCCAGGCTCGAATCCCTGCTCTGCCATGGAAGCTCGCTGGGTGACCTCGGGCCAGTCACTGTCTTAGCCTAACCTCCCTCACAGGATTCTTGTGAGTAAAAAAGATGGAGGAGAGGTTGCCAACTCTGGGTTCAGAAATACCTGGAGGTGTGAGGGTGGAGCCTGAGAAGACGGGGTTTAGGAAGGGGAGGGACCCCAGTAGGATATAATGCCATGCAGTCCATCTTCCAAAGCAGCTGTTTTTTTCCAGGAGAAGTGGAATAAATGTTTTAAATAAACCAAAAATGAATAAAACAACGCTTGAGTCCAGTGGCACCTTTAAGATCAATGAAGTTTAATTCTGGGTGATAAGCTTTCGTGTGCAAGCACACTTCTTCATATAGCTTCTTCAGATTAAAGGTAAAGGTAAAGGTTCCCTTGCTCGAAAGCCAGTTGAGTCCGACTCTAGGGTTGCGGTGCTCATCTCAGTTTCCAAGCCAAAGAGCCAGCGCTGTCCGAAGACGTTTCCGTGGTCATGTGGCCGGCATGACTAAACACCAAGGCGCACGGATCTTCAGATTGCATGCACTTTGTTGATCTTAAAGATGCAACGTTTGAGCCCAGGGGAACCTTTACGATCAACAAAGTTTAATTGTGGGTATAAGCTTTGGTGTGCAAGCACACTTCTTCAGCTACCTGAAGAAATATGCATGCACACAAAACCTCATATCCAGAATTAAACATTGTTGGTCTTAAGGTGCCACTGGACTCAAACGTTGTTCTGTTGCTTCAGACCAACACGGCTACTGACCTGGAAAAATAAATAAGAAATCTATATAGTTGGGACATCAGTTGTAATTCCAAGAGATCCCCACCTGGAGGATCGCAACCCTAAGGAGGGGAGAATGATATAAGCCACTTTGGGTCCCCATTGGGAGAAAAGCAGGGTATAAATGAAAGAAAGAAATATCACCATTTTCCTTTCTCTCTTGAACGCTCTATAGGTGATGAAAAACTATTAACCCACGGAGCGCTCTGTGACAGTGAGTTCCGGTTGGTGACGTCATCAAAAATAAAAAAAAGCTGTGGAACGAACAAAAAAGAAAAACATCAATAAAGTAACCAACACTCTGCAGTCCGTGGGCATCTATCTATAACTCCTTGGTTATACTCCCAGGGTGTTTTTAGGCAGAGATGCTTAAGAACACCCTAGTTGTCTCTGCTCTTTCTTTTCCTGCGTTTTAAAAAAGGTTGTGCAGTATGCAACACGGGAACTGGACGGCTGCCGTTCAGACAAGGAGCTACGAAATTCCAGGAAGGCATCTTATTAAGTTCCTCCAAAAGTCGCAGGCCTGATTATTAGTTTGTAGTGCTTTGGAGGCAGGAGATCTATTTATTTATTTGTTATTTATAGTTCGACTTTCTCAGGTGGACTCAAAGGCGGATCACACAGAGTGGGACAATACAATCAACGGGTGGGACACTCAACAAACAATGCAATAGGATTAGGGTTGTAGAACCAACCAGAAGTCTAAAAACAGAACTGAAGCTGGTGAACCTCCTGATGGCACCTGGGTTTTGGCCATTGGGTGACACAGAGTGTTGGACTGGATGGACCATTGGACTGATCCAACACGGCTTCTCTTATCTTCATAAGTATTAACATGACACGTTAAATGATGCAAAATTCTATAGGAGGATCCTAGTTTCAGCATGCTATATACAGCCGTATAGACTACAGTCCCTAATAATTTTTCTAAGTAACTTTGTGAACCATTTAGTGCAATGCAAGTCTATTGCCTGCATAGAAAAGCTCTCTTGAATCATTCAGTTTTGCACAGTTTGCAGAAAGCCAGGAGACTCCTTTCCCCAGGCTGGTCTTCTGCTGTAAGGAAATCACTTATTCTCATCACTTACAGGGCAATCCTAATCAGAGTAACACCATTGACTTCAAAGGGCCTAGAAAGATGTACCTCTGTTTAGGATTGCACTGTTAAACCACAGTATTTCATCACCTGGGAAATGCAGTTTCCCTTCTAACAAGCACGCCGGTTGCATTCACAAGGCACGTACCTGTACAAACATGACAGGTGATTTTATTTTCTATAACTTCTTTAGAAACTTTGTACTGCCTTATTGTACTGCTTTTGTTTTTTGCATCCCCCTAAGGGGATGTTTGTGTGTGTGTCTGTGCCTGTAAGTCATGACAACTTCTCTAGCAACTCCTACTGGGGGCATGGAGGACATTCAGAGAAATGGACTAATAGCCTACCTCTGGCCTCCCCCCTGGTATTCTCTGGAGGTCTCCCTTCCAAGTACTTGCCAGGGTCGGCCCTGGTTAGCTTCCGAGATCTGACGAGTTTGAGCTTGCCTCGACTATCCAGGTCAGGGCTCCTTCCCCCCTTCTTGAGGGGAATTACAGAACACCTACGGTCCCTGGGTACAGTGTGTAAATTTTAAAAAAAGCTGGATTGCATATAAATACAGAATATTTAATACAATAAGAGGTGATGTGCAGAGTGCATTCCCCCAGCAAAATGCCTGCTTTTAACAAATTAGGAGTCTGTCTACAATCTGTCTACGTAGCCAACGTTACACTGGATGAGGGGACATGGCTTTCCTGCAGCAGACGTGGGAACAGTCCTCTGAGGAGCGGGGAGGGAAGGTCACCTCTGAAAAACCACATGCAGCAGCCTCACACGCCTGTAATTTCTGAGGTTCATGATGGCGGAGAAGGAAGCCATGACAATTAGTCTCAGTTAAAACTGGTTGCAGAGTTAAGGCCCAGAAGCCCAGGACTCAGAGTGGCTGTAAGAAAGCTGAGACCAAAACAACAGAGTGAGCAGAAGATTCCCTCAAGAAGAAATCAAGGACGAAGAGGGGGATGCCTGCCCCGAACAAAATTCCAGGCACTTATTTTGGGATCCACACAAAACTTCTCACTCTGTACAAAACTGGCTTTGTTGAAGAAATCTGTATTTCAAGGAAAAGAGGAGTCTTTTCACAGTAACGAGTCTACTCCTCGAAGGTAAGGTGAGAAGACAAATTCATCCATTCTGCATGAAGTGCATCGCAGCACACATCTTCCAAGGGTCTCTTTTGGGATAACTGCTTCATCCAGGCAGAGCCTCTCGGGCTGGGATATCATCTGGCCTTGAAGAAGAACTTTTTGCGGAGAAAGTTGAAACTGCCAGGCATTTGCTTGTACTTCCCTTTTGCAGAAACGGCGTTCCCCACCTGAGCGAAGAGAAAAGAGACCTTGCGATCCATACCTGCTGTTGTTTCGTAGACAAAGAGAACATCATCTTCTGGACTAGCCAAGCCGTTAATTGTATTACTGCATGAGTTGCTGCTCTGGGTTCCTTTCAACCCAGAGGCATGCTGAGAACAGGGACTCATGCAGAGACGCAGCATATGAATTCCCTTAAAATGGGCGATTCTTACCCTTCCGTAGTCTCAAACAGATACTTTTTTGGGCACAAGAACAAAGCATGCTGCGACTTTTATTCAGACAAAAAAACATAATTCAGAAAGCAGGCAGATGTGGTGTTAAGGAGGAGAGACTTCCTGTCCCCAACTCACCCTGGGCAAAACCCTCAAGATCTTGGAATGAAGGCAGGATACCCAAGGCCTCTTAGGCACAAATAGCTCCAATGGCTTCTGCCTTTGCAGTAGGGATTGTTAAGAATGATGAGACTGAGCTGTTTTACTCTTGAATTAAGGAGGCTCAGTTATGACTGGGTTTGTGACCCTTTCACAACCCTTTCATCTAGAAAAGCAGCCCTGCAACAGAAATCATAAATCCAGGACGGCAAAGAATACTTGCAAGGGCTCCTTCTTTACTCTTGTGGACCCCAGCTAGGAAAACACCATTCCAGCATGTATTGGGGTACCAGTAACATCCACATAGCAAAAGGGATAGTGTGTGCATGCGCATGCATGCTGGATTTACCCTCAGTAGCATGGTGAGCAGATCTTCCGAATGCGCATACTGATCAAGGATCTGGTCCAGGGTTTCCACGTACCAGGATCCACTACGTGTATCCCTCCAGGACACAAAACCTTAGGAAAGGAGGCAAGAAAAGCCACTTAAGAAATCAGCCTTCTCACTCTGATGGGTGTTAATCCCACACAAAGGCTGAGCACTCACAAAATGGGGTGCAGAATTCAGCTTCCTGAGAACTTTGACTTTTAATTTTTGAAAAGCATGTCCTGGTCCTTAACATATGCTTGCAAGAACTAGAGAAAGCTCATTCCTGACACCTCCTACCAGAGATCCTTTAACCGGAACTGGTGCGGGATTGAACTTGTGTCTGCGTGTCACTAAACCACATCTAACACTGCTGGTGCTCACCTGGAAAAGTTGAATAAGATACCAAGATGTCACTGGGGGTGGGCAAACTGGCTATGGCATCTGGCTGATCAGAGTCTCCCGCAGGTATCTGGAAGGGGTTCGCATCAGAATCTAGAGTGCTTCCATGTTGTTGATCCACAGAAGGCCCGGAATCCACCTCAAACCCTCGGTCCTTTTGTTCTACAAAGGCAAACGCAAGCACCACAAAAACGAATAGATGAACCACAATGAGCACTATGCCACTGGCTGAACTGGGAAAGTACAGATCTTCCAGGCAAATGCTGCCTCCAAGAGACCTCCAAACTGCAGGGCTTATTCCATGTTGTAACCTTTGGAGATGTCCACCAGCTAGCCCAGTCCTAAACACTGATGCATACTTAATTCTTATAAGCACTGATTGTACTCTAATGGCCTTCCAAGGAAATCTATTCTGAACCGAAGGCTTGGCAGCACTGAAGGAAACATGGTCTCTTCAGCATATCACTTTATTTACTTACTTTATTTATATCCCACCTTTCTCCTCAGTGGGGACCAAAAGGGGCTTACATCAGTCTCTTCTCCTTAGTTTCATCCTCACAACAACCCTGTGAGGGAGGTTAGGCTGAGAGTGCGTGACTAGCCCAAGGTCACCCAGCAAGTTTCCAGGGCAGAGTGGGGATTCGAACCTGGGTTTATGAGCTCCTAGTCCAACACTTTAACCACTGCCCTGCATTGGGTCTCCAGACTGTAGCCCCAAAGAAGCCATTAGGGCAGCCCATGGGATAACTACAAGTGATTTCCAGGGGTTATTTCCTGCAAAAGCGCACAGGAGCAGAACTCCGGCAGTAAAGAGCACGGGGGGCGGGCCCATGTAACAAGCAGCCCCACCCCCTGTTCCAGCAGCCCTCAGTCAGAGCAAGAAGCAGCCAGGTAAGTTGCAGAGCTCCCCCCGGCCCCCTGGTCCAAAACAGTCCAGTGGCACCTTTAAGACCAAGTTTTATTCAGGTACAAGCTCTCCCTCCTCTGCGAGGACAGATCTGTGTGCCTCTCCCCCCGCAATAGCTAGGAATCCAAAACAGTCCAGTGGAGCCTGAGCGGTGGGTGTTGCCTTCTGACACACTTCTGGTGAGGTCAGGGAGTGTGGCATATGCAAATCAGTTATGCTAATGAGCTCCTGCACCTCTTTTTTCTATGAAATGACCCCTGATTCAGGCCATTGACTCAGCTTGAACAGGAAGGGACTCAGTTTAGAGGCACACACGTGCTTGATGGGGGAACCTATAAAAGGAGGCCCCAGAAGGCCCAAGAGACAGTCAGGAGGTTCTTGCTGCTGAGACGGGAAGGGCTGGCATGTTCTTGTCCCTGTTCCCAAAGGGGGACTGCCTCAGAATGAGCAAGAGCTCGGGTTGCCAGCTCTGGGTTGGGAAATTCCTGGAGATTTGGGGGGTGGAGCCTGGGGAGAGACCTCAGTGGGGTATAATATCATACAGTCCACCTTCCATAGTAGCCATTTTCTCCAAGGGGAACTGATCTCTGTTGCCTGGAGACTAGTTGTAATTCCAGGGGATCGCCAGCCCCCCCCTGGAGATTGGCAAGCCTAGCAAGAGCAAAGGGACCAGGCAGCAATGTGAGACCCTCATGGATATGCCTGGAAGATATGCAGCCATCATGGATACACCTGGAGGACTCTAAAGGCACACAGAGGCTCAGCGCGTATCTGGCCCAAGGTCGGCCAGCGAGCTTCCATGGCAGCGCGCGGATTTGAACCCAGCTCGTACAGATCCTAGCCTGACACGCTAATCGCTATGCTGCACTGGTAGAGACCAATGGAACAGAGCTGGGGGATTTGCCCATTTGTAGTGGTTTGGTGTAGTGGTTAAGTGCGTGGACTCTAATCTGGGAGAACAGGTTTGATTCCCCACTCCTCCACTTGCACCTGCTGGATGACCTTGGGCAAGCCGTAGTTCTGGCGCAGCTGTCCTTGAAAAAGAGCAGTTTGTGTCAGAGCTCTCTCAGCTCCACCTACCTCACAGGGTGTCTGTTGTGGGGAGGGGAAGGGAAAGGAGTTTGTAAGCCGCTCTGAGATTCCCTTGGGTAGTGAAGGGCGGGGTATAAATCCAACCTCTTCTCTTCTTCTTGTACGCTCACCTCCTCCACAAGCTTGGATGAAGAAGAGTTTGGGTTTCCCCCTCAGGAGCGGACAGTGAGACCCGTTGAAGTAGCTGACGATCTTTTCCACCGCAATGGGCATTCCGTCTGTACCGAAGATCCCGCCGGGAAACTGGTTGTGTCTGGTCTGCAAGAAAAGAGACAACCCACCCGTTGACCCTGGGATCCATTAGATCTATCCCCTCTTTCCTCACAGATGATCTAGCACAGGGGTCCCCAACGTGGTGCCCATCGCCACCCTGGCCCCTTATGGCAACCTTTCCTGACACACATCAAGTGCTTTTAGAAAGTGGGCGGAGCCAGGCGGCACTTTTGCCCAGCAGGATTTAAAACAACAACAACGACAACATTGCTTTGGCGGCAGCTGCCACCACCACAGCACGAGGGTTTTCACTGTGTCACGGAATTAGGGCCTGGATTGAGCCTCAGTCCTCCGTTAGGCCTATGTGACTTTAATTTCTACAGTAATCAGCCTCTATAGTTGAATCTTTGGTTCTGTTTCCCAGGAGGCTTTGGGACTCTGCTAAGTGCTGTGGCCTTTGGGTACAGATAACCCTGCACATGATTTTCGCCTCACAAGACTTTTGCCTTCAGGGAATGTTTATGCATTGCAGAGGTCAGGAGTCACTATCAAATTCTAAACAGATAAAGAGTATTTGAAGCTAGCTTCCTGGGACTCCCTTCGCCAACCTTGACTCTCTGAGTCAATGTAGCTCAACTCAGCTTTCCTTGACCTTCCCGACCCCAGAGATAGAAGGAATGGGCTGAGAGTTGTCGTGGGCTTCAGAGGTGAACGTCAAATGCTCGTCACAGAGTTGATTGACAGTTACATTAGCTCCTGTGGTTGGAAAAGGGTACTTCATATCTGAGTTTAGTTTTGTTCCTTGATGTTCCGGCCAAGCACCCTTCCGTTACGGGTCTTGTCAGAGCAAACAAGGACATCCTTTATAGAACTTCAAGTGCACTATTTATGTATTTGGGTTTGTGCTGAAATATTCTGTGCTGAATATTGAAATGCTACAAAAGTGTTTTCTGACTTAAAGAGTGTGTAATGGAATGAACTGAGTTTTGTTTTAGAACATCTATCTCTCTCTCTCTCTCTCTCTCTCTCTCTCTCTCTCTCTCTGGAATTGGGAAGCCAACTTCCTTCCAAAATGAACTACATGGGAATGGGAGTGCATGAAAAGGTTCCTGCACCCCTCATTTCCCCAACAACTGCATGAACAACAATACGTTGTGTGTAAGCAAGAAAATTATTTTAAATAATCTGTTCATTTCAAAAGGCATCCTCTTGAGCAGAGCTTCTGCCTGAAATGTTGAAATGCAGACTCATAAAGATGAGGACCCCTGGTCTAGACAGGGCCGGCTCACCCACTAGGCGAACTGGGCATTTGCCTAGAGCGCCAGGCCTTGGATGGGGCGGCCGGCCCTGGATGGAGCGCTGAGCTGTGCCTCCCCCCCGCCCTCTTCTTCTTCTTCCCTCACCTTCCGAGGAGGAGGCCAAGGGGCGGAGGAGCGGGTCCCACCGCGAGCTTGGCCGAAGAGAGGCACGCCTCCCTCCCTCCTCCCCTACTTCAGTGGTGGCCGGGGGGGGGGGGGGGGGTTAATCACAACTTTGAAAGGGCCAACTTTGAAAGGGCCAACTGAATTCAGTTGGACCCTACTAGCTTCTCTATTTGACATCATTTGACTACGCAAGGCGCAGAAGCACCTCGAGCCGGCCCTGAGCATAAAGGAAGACGTGAAGTGGGAAGTAGGGTATCCAGGTCCCTCCTGGCCACCGGCAGAGGATGAGGGGGTAGGTTTGCCAGATCCAGGCTGGGAACCTCCTGGAGATTTGGGGGAGAATCCTGGGGAGGCCAGGGACTTCATTGGGACACAATGCCCTAGATTCCACCCTCCAAAGCATCCATTTTCTCCAGGGGAACTGATCTCCGTAATCTGGAGATGAGCTGTAATTCCAGGGGATCCCCAGGTCCCATCTGGAGGCTGACATCCCGACCAGTGGGACATATCTTGCATTTGCCAGATTTTAACCCCAGATCTTGGTGCAAAAACAAGAACAGCTCTTACTCGAGCCAAGTGCAGAAGAACAGTTTGCATAGCACATTTTATATCCTTGGCATAATACAGAATTACAGAAGGCGAACACACCGGCCCCGAGGGGTTTGCAGTCGCACAGAGACTCTCCAGGGCATACCTGACAGCCGTGGGAAAGGATCACGACCAAGCAGCAGCCGAGGGATCCATGGTTCCGCCTCACCAGGCTCTGCAACTCCAAGGTGATTTCCTAGAGACATTGGGGGGGGGGGTGCGGGGGAACCCATGCATTAAAAACATTTGCGTCGATGGTATGCTTCGTTCCTTCCCCCTTACAAAACCAGAGACTTAGTGACGCATTCCTGAAAGGCAGAGTTGAGCTGATGGGAATCAACATCTTCTTAATCACAAAAGGATTGGAATGAAAGATGAGCAGAAGTCCCAGGGATCTGGCTGCAAGCTTGGAGGAGGGAGAGCAGGAGGAGGAGGAGGAAAGAAGAAGAAGAAGAGGAGGAGAGGTTGGATTTATACCCCACCCTTCACTACTCGAAGGAATCTCAGAGCGGCTTACAATCTCCTTTCCTTCCTCTCCCCACAACGGACACCCTGTGAGGTGGGTGGGGCTGAGAGAGCTCTTTCGAGAACTGCTCTTGAGAGAACAGCTCTGAGAGAACTTGTGACTGACCCAAGGTGACACCAGCAGCTGCATGTGGAGGAGCGGGGAATCAAACCCGGTTCTCCCAGATTAGAATCTGCACTCTTAATTACTACACCAAACTGGCTCTCCCTTTATTTGGGAAGGAGCCTCATATACAAGGCAGCATTCTTTGAGGGCTTCCCAATCGCAAGAGTTCTTTCTCAGATGTAGAAAACATCACCTTCAAGCCATACTCATACCACTGACTACTTTAAGGGGAAAGGAAAAATCAGATCACATCTGAACCGAGACGTCTGCAGACTTATGGGCATGGCTGACCCTCGTCGTCAACTACTGGAAACCGCTACTGCAAAGATGCTGTGCGTAGCAGCCTCCCTTTATTCTCCACCTGAGCTGTGAGATCTCGTCGAGTCACGACTTCGAAACGGAGCAACCGGAAGCGTCTTTCCAGTCTCTCGCAGTCCACATCAGAGCCAACGCGGGCGGCAAGGCCAGACTCCTTGGAGAAGTTCACGTTGTTGATGATAAGGCAGTAACCACAGGGGTCAGAATTCAAAGCATAAACCTATAACGCAAGACAAGAGTTAACTTTTCCCCCCTGTTGAGAACATCTGGGTTAAAAAAAACACACAAGGTTCTCAAGTATGCAACTGGTTCAACTGACTCCCATTAATGTTGTGCTATGCAAGATGTGATAGTCCTGCTGTACACTGCCTCTCTTCCTTCACCGCTTTATTTTTATTTATTCATTGCCCTTGAGTCGCGGCTGACTTACAGTCAGGGGTCATTTCCTGCAGGAGCGCACAGGAGCGGAGCTCCGGCAGTAAAGAGCCCAGGGGGCGGGCACATGCAGCAAGCCCCCTACTCCCAGCAGCCCTCAGTCAGCGCAAGAAGCAGCCAGGTAAGTTGCAGAGCCCCCCGGCCCCCCGACCCAAAACAGTCCAGTGGCACCTTTAAGACCGTTTTATTCAGGTACAAGCTCTCCCTCCTCTGCCAGGACAGATCTGCATGTCGTCGTCCCCATAGCTAGCAATCCAAGAGTCCAGTGGCACCTGAGCCGTGGGTGTTACCTTCTGACACACTTCCGGTGATGTCAGGGTGTGTGGCATATGCAAATAAGTTATGCTAATAAGTTGTGCTAATGAGCTCCTGCACCTCTTTTTCTACGAAATGACCCCCGATAAAAGATATATATTTAAAAATACTAACCATTTCAGGACTCCTTGCAGCTCTCTCCTCAGAACCTAAAAAACAGGAGCAAGGAGCAAAATGACATACTGATCCATTGCCCAAGTGATTCAAGCTAATGCTCAGTCCCCAGTGCGGAATACCTGTGATTTCTAATATATAGTCCTCAGGTAGAGAATGTATCAGATATTAAACATGATAAGAACAGATTACTTTATAGAGAATGCTTTCGCAGCCAAAAGGCCGAGAAACGATTACAATCTCTTTTAAGAAAACTTAAATATATATTTTAACATTGTTAGTTACTTAGCACGTATTCGTATTAAATGCTCAGGTATATACAGATATGTAACCAATGTATTTGCCATATATTAATGTATATGCTGCTTTAAATTCTGATCTTGGATCGAAACTCGAAAAATTGATTTCTAATATATATCCCCCACAAAGGAAGAACATGCTCCATACCTCTATTAGAATCTCTGGGGAGGTGACATATGAATTTTCTAAATAAATAAATGGAGGGCCCAGAGGCTCTATCCATACATTGTTGGATAGTGTGGTAAAACTTTTTTTTTTGCAACTGGATCTTTTTCTGTAGACTAGGCAGTCCAATTGCCAGTTATTGCTGTACTGCAATGAAAGAATAACATCTGTTGATGTGTGGATGCGGCCTTAGGTTAGGAGCAATGTTCCCTCTAAGCTGTGGAGTCTTGTGAGCAAAAATTCTACTTTGTGAGCTGCTGGCATTAAAGTTGTGAGCGAGCGATTTGGCTACTGCATAAATTAGTTGGCTCTTGGAGCCCTCCTTCCTGAGCCAAGGCAAAAATGTGTGAGCTAGAGGCTAAAATACTGTGAGCTAGCTCACACTAACTCAGCTTAGAGGGAACACTGGTTAGGAGGGCAAAGAATTCCCATTTATCCTCTCAGTCACACAGTTTCTTTCAAGACCCCACCTGTAGGACTATAAACAAGAATGACAAATTCAGGGTCCTGGAGTGGAGACCAAGCCCTATGAGGAGAGGATGAGTGGAATGTTCAGTCTCGAGAAGAGGAGGCTGAGGGGGGATGTGAGTGATTGCTCTCTTGAAGTATTTGAAAGTATTTGAAAAACTGCCGCTTAGCGGAGGGCAGGGAGCTGTTCCTGTTGACAGCCGAGGAGAGGACTCGCATATAATGGGTTTAAATTAAGGGCAGGAAGGTACCAGCTGCATATTAGAATTATTATTTTTTTACAGTATCAACTGCCTAGGGAGGTGGTGAGCGCTCCCTCACTGGCAGTCTTCAAGCAGCAGCTGGACAAACCCTTGTTAGGGATGCTCCAGGCTGATCCTGCATTGAGCAGGGGGTTAGACTAGATGGCCTATCTGGCCCCTTCCAACCCTGTGATTGTATGATTCTATATTCTCATATTTTGGAGTAGAACACATCTACCCAGGTTTTATCAGTAAGCCTATGGAGGAAGAGCGATAATAAGCAAGCGGAATTTAAGCAATTGATCAGAAAGCAGTTTTCTCCTTACCCTGAGTGGCTGCAATTTCACGATCTGGTTCTTGAAATCTCTCCTGGGCTGGGAAAGGTAAATATTCTCTTGTCTGCATACCTGCAATATAAGACAATTGGATTTCCTAAGCCAAAACATGACCTCAAAAACACGTGAACAGAGAGATACCCAGAATCTTCGTCATCACACGTGAGATGCATTCGCCCTGCCCCACAAGCAAACTTGAGTACAGAAGTCGCTGATGCAACCAAACCAAGATCAGCCCACTTGGGACATACCGGGGTCAACTTGTCCAGCACGCGTGTGGCCCATGATTGGTTCTATGTGGGCTGGGGGCAATTGCAGATGGTGGCATCCCTCACTCAGCAGAGTTGCCAGGTCTTTCTGTCCAGTTTCACGGAGACACCAGATGAAGGCAGGGAGGGCTTCTTTTCCTCGCGTCTGCAGGTCAGTGATTAACTCCCTGGCCTGGTCCCTTCGAGTACCTGCACTCTGGAGACAAGTTATTCCTTCTGGGAAGTCCAGCAAATGCAGAGCATATATTTCGTGCCTTTGCATTTGAAAACTGAGGGGGGATAAAGAGGCTTAAATAATGGTGGTGCATCTACACTAGTGCAACCAGCAATTGATCTTCGATAAGGAGCTAGCCAGACTTCCACTCTCCTACTTGACACAATCATTTTATTGGCCCACACTAACGTAAGTCCCACCCTCAAGAACTACAGGTGTCAACATTCCTTGTTCATCATTGCTTTCAGAACAACTCATTTCATTTTTGTGCATTTAAATGTACCAACCTGAGAGCTTTGCCCTTCGATGCATCTGATGAAGTGAGATCCGACTCACAAAAACTGCTGCTGGAATAAATTTTGGGCCCTGCCACACGGCAGGGGAAAAGCCTCTAAAGGCGCGGCTTTTAAAAGCCGCGCCAACGTTGAGACGCCGCAGCGGGATCCGTGGGATCCTGCCGCGGCGCCTTTTCTCCCCGGCGCGATCAAACGCCGGGGAGAAAACACAGCCCTAACCGGGAGCCGGCCGAACTGCGCATATCGGAGCATGCGCAGTTCGGCTCCGGGCCGGGGTTGTGCCGGCGCAAGGACACACCGGCGATCAAACACCCGGCTAGCAGCGCGGCTTCCAGTTGAACCACCAAGGTAGGTGGTTTCAACTTGAGGTGCATTTGTGCGGGGAAGGGCCAGGTCAGGGACGGAAGCAAGACGCTTCCCAGATGTTGTGGTACGATCGCGACGGTTTGATCCGCCCCCGAACTGTCCCGCTCCCGGCCCAAATCGCCTAGTGTGAACGGGACCTTTGTCCGTCTTTCAGAAGGAAATACTTCTTTACACAGAGAAGGATTCAAATGTGGTATCTGCTGCCAGAGAATGTAGTGATGGCCACAGGCATAGACAGCTTTGAAAAGGGATTAGACAGATTCACGGGGGAGAGGTCTATCAGTAACCACAAGCCCTGGTAACTAAAGGGAACCTCCACGTTCAGAGACAGTCATCCTCTGAATCCCAGTGCCAGGAGGCAACATCAGGGGAAGGCCTCAGCTTCTGTGCTCTGTAAACTGGTCGGCCACTGTGTGAGACAAGACGCTGGACTATATGGGCTGATCCGACAGGGCTGTTCTTATGCTTTTATGTCTTTAAGTTGCCACTGAATTCCTATTTCATTTCCTTTCACTGGCCTTTCTTTTTCTTAATTAAACTCCATTTACATGGGACTTTCCTGAATTTTTTAATCCCCCCTCCAATTAAAATTGGACTTCCCAATGGAGGCCCAGTTCTACCTGAGTTGATTTATTTTTATTACTTATTTATATATTAGGTAAAGGTCAAGGTTCCCTTGCTTGAAAGCCAGTCGAATCCGACTCTAGGGTTGCGGTGCTCATCTCCGTTTCAAAGCCAAAGAGCCAGCGCTGTCCGAAGACGTTTCCATGGTCATGTGGCCGGCATGACTAAACACCAAGACGCATGGAACGCTGTTACCTTCCCACCGAAGTGGTACCTATTTATCTACTTGCAATTTCTTGCTTTCGAACTGCTAGGTTGGCAGGAGCTGGAACCAGAGATGGGAGCTCACTCCATCATGCGGCACCCGGGTCTCGAACCGCTGAACTACTGACCTTCCACAGCCTGCAGTTCAGCGTCTTAACCACTTGAGCCACCGCAGCTCCATTTATATATTAACAAATCATAATTAAAAACATCACAATTGAAAACCAACCAAATAAACACCCCAAATAACCCTTCCCCAAATATACCTCATATTTATACTCCATTAAAAGCTAATAAAATGGCTTTGCTGTGCTTTTTAAAAGTTGTTTCAGGATGTGTGCCTACAGAGGAGTCCAACCACTATGCTCCTGCATGAGTCACCATTCTGAGAATCCCTTTTTTGAGGGTTGCATCTCTGGCTTCGGAACAAATGGTCCCCAATGCCAAAATTATCAGCAGAGGGTGATTTAAATGTGATGCTGGCAAAGAAAAAGCACTTTCTTGAGGGACTTTACATTCACAATGCCATCTCATTTAAACTGGGCTGCTACCCTCACAAAGTAGCTAACATGTGTTTAGTTAGCATGACAGAGGCCCCGGTCACACGGGCCGGATATCGCGGGGGGGGAGGCGTGGCTAATTGCCCCGGCGCAGTTTGATTCGCGATTACGCGATCAGACGCGACGGCGGCACACCACGGGTCCTTCCCTCCGCGCCGGCAGGTAAACGAGGGTGGCAATCACACAACGATCCTGCAGCGCGGCAAAGAAGCGGCATGGCGCGATCACACCAGCAATGGCTAGGTGCCGCTGCTGTGACAAACGGGGTCATTTTTTAAAAGCCGAAACGGCAGTTTTGCTTTCCTCTTTGTGCGCATGCGCCGTTGGGTGCTTGTGCGCATCTTGTGGAGACTTGGGGGGAAAAAACCTGTTTGCGAAGGGACATGGGCGGGTGCCGGATGCCACCACTGGAAACGCGATCAGACGCCAGCCCTTGCCCCACGGTTTCCGGAAACTAGTACCTTGGAGGTACTCGTTTTTAACTCTGCATCTTCGGTGGGAAGCCTCGGGTTCGCCACAGGAGCTCTACGCTTCCCAGATGTTGCGGTGTGATCGTGCCCGGAAAATCCGCCTATCTTTCGTCTGTGTAGCGTGGCTAATGCTCCGTGTGACCGCAGCCAGAGGTCTGCTGATCAGGCAGGCGCATGGCGGACGCTTCCTCGGGTCGCTCCCGAGGGCGCCTCGCCCGCCCGCGGTGGAGGAGGGAATCCGCGCGAGCGGAGACCCGAACGAGCCCCTCAGAAGAGAGGAGCTCGGATCCGGGGCGCTTTAGGGCGCACTAGGGGGGAGTCGCTCTTTCGACCGAGAGGTCGGAGAGCGAGGCTCCCGCCATGCCCTGCCCCAATGGACCTTGCTGCGTGAGCGACCCCGAACGGGGTTTAGCGGAGCCACCAGACGTCACCGAGTGATAAAGCGACCATCCGCAAAAGTGGAAAAGAAAAAGAAAAGATCGGCTTAACTGTGAGTTGTCAAAATGCAGAGAAAAAGAACTGAAAATTGTTTCCCCCCCCCCAGCGAAAAAGGCGAAGAGGTTTATCCTCCATCTAAACAAGCGAAAAAGAAAAAGGAGGGAGGGACTTCCGTCTGGGCGTTTGTTTGTGTGCAAGAGCCGGCTGTTGAATGTTTGGACTGTTTATGGCTGTGAATCCGACGGGAGTTTTGCAAAAAAGATAAGTTGGAATTGTGACAGCGAGAAGTGCCTGATAAGCGCTTATAAGTCAACAATTGCGAGGAGGACCCATAGAGAGTCTGGGAGCGAATATAAAAGCGAAAATGAAATTGATACCATTCTCGAAAATGGGGACCTCCGGGGCATGAAAGGAAGAGGATTTATAGTACATGAACTGAGCGTATTAACAACAACCCGAAGGAGGATCTAACAAGCCGGAAGGAGAAGACAACAGAGACAACAGAGGAAGCTCCTCCACGTCAGCGATAGTAAAAGTACCCAGCACGCAAAGAAGCGGTTCTGGATGTGCACAGAAGAGACCCTTTTTATTAACAGAATCTCAAAGGAACATTACTAACATACTAACAGAGAATACATGTAACAGGACTAAGAAAAGAAGTTTGACAACACACAGAAGAAGCCCAAGAAGATTAATTGGACATTACTAACAGTTTAATTTACCAGTTTATATATCACTCAGCTTTCTCTTTCTCCCACTGTCTACCCCTCCCTTTTTTTTCTTTTAAGCGAAATACCTCCCCTTTTTAGGGGAGCCAATAAAACCTTTATTAAAAAAAAAAACATGCCAGTCAAGCATCTGCTTGTTGCAGATAGCAGCACAGTTTAAATGAGATACAGGGCAAAGTGCAGAACTGCAGAGTTGGAGTCTTTTGCCTGGCCAGCATCACATTCAAATCAGCTGATTATGGAACAACCTCCCCAGGGAGAAGTATCTGGCCACCTCACTTTTGATCTATAGGGGGCACTGAAGACAGTTTTATTTAGGACTGCACTGGATCAAAGCACTCCTAAATTGTGCTTTTAAACTTCGGTTTTATGTATTTTTATGCAATCTCTTTTATGTATTTTATTTATATAGTAAGCCACCTGAGCTCCATGAGGAAGAAAGGTGGCCAATAAACGTTTCAAATAAATTTGGCCTTATTAGGAGTTCAGAGCAGTGACTCCTACAGAAATGCAACGGCCAGCCTCCTCCGCAGAGAGATATTTTGGGCTCATCACTGCAGCCTTTAACGAACTTGTTTCTTGCAGTACAACAAGTCTCTCACAACATACTAGTATATAATGGCACACAGATTAAGAATTATTAGGTGTTTTAGGAGTAGAGCAAAGAGTTTCCCCTCTGACATTCCACAAGAGAAGACGTTGGAGAGGGTGGGGATTAGACAAAGTTGCTCTGGGCTAGACAGTACAAAGAAGACACCAGTTTTTATCCTTAGATTTGCACAAGTGCTAGAAAGCACTTATCAGGGCTGCGGTCACCCATCGTCGGATAACTGTGCTACAGCACAACAGCCAGTGATGCGTGGCCGCCACCCTTAAGGATCTCCATGCACGTACAGAGATCGCTGCCGAGGAAGCTCTGGAGGTTGGGGAACCCATTTTTCTCTCTCCTAGATTCAGAGCAGAGCTGGGGAAATCCCAGACGCCCTGGCATTGCTGCTTTCAGGACTTCCGCGGCGGCGCCAAGCGGGTCTGACTTCCAGGCAGACAAGGAAGTAGCCGATTCCTTAAGCACAAAAGATTCTGCGCGCAGCCGGATACCTGGATCTCCTCGATCATGTCCGGCGTGAAGATCCCTTTGTGCACCAGCAGGTCCCAGAGCGGCTCCACCTGCAGCTCCTTCACCAGGCGCAACCGCGAGCGCTGCAGCAGTTGGCGCTGAGCCTCGTCCATGGCCCCGGGCGAAGCAGCGAGCAGAGACACCCACCCCGGGCGCCGCACTCCTTCCGCGAAGGGAGACCCGCCCGGGGAACCCCGCCCACAGGCCCCGCCTGCAACATCACAGTCCATATAAGGACATACGGGCCGGGAGTGAGCGGGGAAGGTTCTAGCTCCGCTGGTTTGGTCAGTCTGTTGCTTTGACTGGCCCGGACGGGGATTTCGGTCCGGCCCACCGACCGAGACACTTAAAAATACATCAGTGCCCATAGAGAATAATGGAGAGTAGGCTTGCCCAGAGGGATTTTTGTTGTCGTTGTTCAGTCGCACAGTCGAGTCCGACTCTTCGCGACCCCATGGACCAGATCCCGCCAGGCCTTCCTGTCTTCCGCCGTCCTCTGAAGTTGGCTCAATTTCATGTTCGTTGCATTTATGACCAGTGTTCCCTCTAAGCTGAGTTAGTGTGAGCTAGCTCACAGTTTTTTGGCTTCCAGCTCACACATTTTGGTCTTAGCTCAGGAAGGACGGGCTCCAGAGCAAGCTAATTCATGCAGGAGCCAAATCGCTCGCTCACAACTTTAATGCCAGTAGCTCACAAAGTAGGATTTTTGCTCACAAGACTCCACAGCTTAGAGGGAACATAGTTTATGACACTGTCCAACCATCTCATCCTTTGCCGTCCCCGTCTTCTTTGACCTTCAAAGGTCCAAGGTCACCACGGGGCTCAGGGAAGCGGGGGAACGTTTCGCACGCCCCCCCCCCCGCGGCCGTTGCAGCTGCCGTCACCAGCGTCGACGACCATAACTTTTTAAAGAGCCCCTAACGAGAGCTGGGGGAATGAGCTTTGGGCAATATTGCCTATGGGCAATCATGGATTCCTTGTTGGCAATTATGTCCCTATGAGCAATCACGGATTCTCTATTGGCAGTTATGTACTCCATTATCCCCTATGGGCAAGCGTCCTCTCCATTATTCCTTATGGGCAGTTATGGATTCTTTATTGGCATTATGGATTCTCTGTTGGCAATTATGTACTCCATTATCCCGTATGGGCAAGCGACCTGTCCATTATTCCCTATGGGCTGCAATAAGAACATAAGAGATGCCAATGTTGGATCAGGCCAAAGGCCCATCCAGTCCAACACTCTGTATCACACAGTGGCCAGAAATACCAGGTGCCATCAGGAGGTCCACCAGTGGGGCCAGGACATTAGAAGCCCTCCCACTGTTGACCCCCCCCAAGCACCAAGATGACAGAGCATCACTTGCCCCAGAGTCCCTATCTATACCTTGTGGCTAATAGCCACTGATGGACCTCTGCTCCATATGCTTATCTAATTCCCTTTTGAAGCCGTCCATGCTTGTAGCCGCCACCACTTCCTGTGGCAGTGAATTCCAAGTGTTAATCACTCTTTGGGTGAAGAAGTATGGATTCTCATGGATTCTACGGATTCTCTATTGGCAATGGATTCTCATGGATTCTCTATTGGCAATTATGTACTGCACTATCCCCTCTGGGCAAGCCTACTCTCCATTATTCTCTATGGGCACTCATGTATTCCCTATGGGAAATCGCTGTCCTTAGTTTTAGTACGTCCTGTTGCAATTTCAGATCTCCAGCCCTCACCTGGAGGTCGGCAAATCTCTGTGGGCATCTCCTAGGGCTGCCAGCCTCCAGGTGGGGCCTGGGGATCTCCCGCTTTTACCACTGATCCCCAGCCGAAAGAGATCAGCTCCCCTGGAGAAAATGGCTGCTTTGGAGGGTGGACTCGATGGCATTGTACTGTGCTGAGGCCCCTCCCCTCCTCAAACCACGCCCTCTCCTGGCTCCACCCTCAAAGTCTCCAGGTATTTTCCAACCCAGACTTGGCAACCCTAGCATCTCCTTTAGAAACTTTTAAAAAATGTTTGGCTGAATTAGGCTTAATATCTCTAAATGGGTATTCGGAGTGAGGTTATTCCCCCCCCCCCCTATTGTTGCTAATGTAGCATTTTTTAAAACTGCAATGATTTCAGCCGCCGTAGCGATAAAACCGGGTCAGGAACGCTGTGAGGCGAACAAACCAATCAGCGCCGAGGTCGTTGAAAACGAAACAAAACAGTGTGACGGCCAAACGACTGCGCATGCCTAACAGCCTCCTTCCCACCATACAACGCGGGACTGTGACGCTCTATCCCTCGCGGGAGAGATGTAGCTTTTAATCGGGCCGCGCATCTCTGTGGTATGGGAAGACCTCTGCAGGCCTTTTCCGGTCAAGAAAGGCGGAGCTTTGGTTTTCATTCCGGGCCGGGACGGAAATAAGGGTTTCGCTGCGCCGTCTCTATGGTGACGGCGGTGAGGGGCGGGTCTCCAAGCCGGAAGTGGGGACCGGGGAGACAGGAGCGAACAGGGTGGGTATTGCGAGCCTTTCATAAGCAGCTGGGGTGGGGGAAGGAGATGGCTGTCAAAAGAATGTCAGCGGGGGGAGGGAGGGAGCCCTGCCTCGGTCAGTGGGAGGCGTGAAGGACAGGGCAGTCAACAATACATGGTTGCTATAGGGAGGCCTGTCGGGGGGAGGGGGGGCTGCAGGTTGGGAAGCGCTACTACCCGACGGGGCTTCCTTAGTGGGAAGGGGCACGTTTGGGAGAGGGGCTCGGAGTCTTTTTGGTTTCCTGCACGTATTTGAAGATAGAGGGAGGCTGAAACCTCTCGAGGGGCAGCTTGGGCATGTGTGGAGGGAAGGTAATGGCAGAGCCTCCTTGTGTATGGACAGTCTACCCCTGGGTTCCAGGTGCTGCAGGGTGAGCCGCTAAGCATGCAGTCATCCTTCCTCCCCTCCCTTTGGGCTTCACTTCTGAGTCATCTTATCTTGCTGCTCTTTTGTAATGCGGGTAATATGTGGCCCTTCTGCGCTGTTGTCTGCTGTTCAAAGCGCGTCACTAACGGTATCGTAGCCGACATTGCAATAGCTGTGTAAGGTAGGCCTCTGGTGTTATTATTGTCTTACAGATTGAGGGAGGTGAAGCGACTGAGAGGGAGCGGAGTTACTTGTGGCCAGCCCTTGTGTCTGTGGTTCATAACTGTGGTCCGTAGCTCCCAGTAGGTTAAATGTGATCAGCTGTGTTCTTTTGGGGGAGTCCTGAATTATGTGGATCTCAGGCTGAGACTGCAAGTCGATCCATACACGCTTCCTTCGCTGTTTATGTGATGCTTATGTTCTGTGACGGGGGGGAGTCCTGAATTATGTGGATCTCAGACTGTAAGTCGATCCACACACACTTCCTTCTCTGTTTATGTGATGCTTATGTTCTGTGTCTGCATTTAGGCCTTTAAAAATAGATGTGGTCATTTCATGACATTTGGATTGGGTGGAGGGGTTGGCATGCTGTCCTTGAGAGGCAGCTCAGCATCCTGTCTATTAAAAAATTTCTGAATCTTTGTTGTCCATTTCCTGTTTTGGCTGCTGTAGTCCTGCCCTGTGGGAAAGGCGGGAATGGCGATTACCACCCCCAAGACAAAACTCAAAAAAGAAGTTGAAGCACCTGTTCTGCTGAAAAATTTGAGCATGGTAGAGGCATGGTGGAGGTTTATATGGCTATGCACTGTGTGGGGAGAGATGACGCCCCCCCCCCCCCCCCATCCGTAGAATATTAACACTCTGGGACAGCCAGTGAAATTTATAGAGAATTAGATTTGGGGTACCCAAAAGAAGATATTTCTTCACATGATACATAATTATTTTCGAAGGGTCTTGAGTACAAGGTGTAATGCTGGACACCACCTTACATGGCTTTGAAAGGGAACTAAAGACAATTGAGGGGAGGGTGAGTCAAACAGTTGCTATTTGGCATGAGGGTGTAATGGGAACCTCCATGAACACTTGGAGTGGAGGGCAACAGCAAGAGGAGCCAATTGCTTTCATTCTCTGTGTGTGGGTTTCCTGGCTGCATCAAATTTAGAGCATTCTAAATGCATAAAAGCATTTGTGGAAACAGTCACCGGCCCAAAGCAGCCTTTTAGATTTCCAAACCCTGTTTAAAAAATAGTTGCCTATAAAGCACATCTAAGCAGCACATAAATGCAAATCAGTGATAAATTGGCTTAGCTGCTCAAGTCAGCAATTTAAAACTGCTTACAAACCAAAGGCCCTCTTTTAAAGAGAACAGTTTTCGGCAAATTGGTGGCCATCCCTGGAAGGGTGTTCCAGAGTTGCATAGTGATAATAAAAATGCAATTAACAAGAATTGCATTTCTTTGGGCAGAGTTTGGTCCTTGACAAAGTTTAGAATGGTTGAAATAGACACAGATTTTGAAGCTGGCTTGCTGAGTTTTTCTGATGCTGAATTTAAAAATGGAAACCATCCCCTGGTGAGCTATCATGCCGGTCTGAAATCAGGCTGACTGTCATGTGTATACCCTTCCCTTGTTAGCCTAATATAGAAGGTACTGAGGCCACACAGATTCATTTCTAGCTGGGGTTGTTGGTTCTGAAGCACTGGTTTTTCAAACTAGTTTGGGAAACCTCGAGGCTCCTTTGAAGTCTCTTGGCGGGATGAGAAGCTAGCTTAAACATTACAAGTAGCCTCTGAAACCCACAGCTTCAGCAGAGTGGTGTTCTCGGTAGCACTCCCTGTTGATGTGGAGTGATGACGAAGCCTTATGTACCTTGCCAGAGTACTCTGCGAACTGACTGTACATATAAAAGCGTGCTTCAGAAACCTGCAGGGCTCCATGGCAGGTATTCAAGGATTTCTCAGTGGTTGAAAAAGTTGTCTGGAGACGGAAAGTTTCTGTTCTAACTTCTCTGGCATATGCAAACGATTGACCAAGTATGTGTGATGGGCGGATCCCTAACCATGGTAGCCATCCCAGGAAACATCTAGATTCTGTGGTTTGATGCTATCTTTTGTTGTATATGTCTTGCTGACTGGGTGACCTGGTGGCATGATGCCTATCTTGTGCTTTCCCTGACAGTTCTGTACCAGTGCTGGGCATAATCCACCCCCCCCCCATTTTTGTACATGCACTCCTGTTGTCTTTCTGCATAAGTGTGTGCATTGTCTTATCCTGAGCACTGTTACAGCACCCTTAAAATACAAACTCCAGAAATAAGGCATATAATTCTAGAACAGGGGTGGCCCAGCTTGATGGGAGACCACCAAGGAAGCCCAGGGTTGCTACGCAGGGTCAGGCAATGGCAGACCACCTGTGTTCATCTTTTATAGACAGCTTCAAAAGAGAATTAGATAAGCATATGGAGCAGAGGTCCATCAGCGGCTGTTAGCCACAAGGTATAGATAGGGGCTCTGGGGCAAGTGATGCTCTGTCTTCTTGGTGCTTGGGGGGGGGGTCAACAGTGGGAGGGCTTCTAATGTCCTGGCCCCACTGGTGGACCTCCTGATGGCACTGGTATTTCTGGCCACTGTGTGACACAGAGTGTTGGACCGGATGGGCCTTTGGCCTGATCCAACATTGGCGTCTCTTATGTTCTTATGTTCTTATGCTTAACACAAGAGCCACATAGAATAAACGTCTGATGTTTGAGAGAGCCGCGAGACACGAACAAATATTACCCACACATTTTTGTTGAAAAATATGCAAATTTGCTTTTTATTAACGTTAAATGAGACTGCCAAAAATAATAAGTGGGGTAAAGGCAAATATTGATAATGATATTTATTTGTCCAATGATGTTTGTTTGTTTGCTAATGATATTTAGCTTCCCCAGCTGCCCTGCTGGGACCCACACAATATGTGTGAAAGAGCCACATGCCGCTCTGGAGCCACAGTTTGGCCACCCCTGTTCTAGAAGCTGATTTGGTGCCTTCCCCACTCCTCCTTTCGGGTGAAGGATGGGGGAAGGTGCTGGATGTTGACGCAAATAAATCAAATACAGTACTTTCTTAGATCACTTGGTCTGGTCTGTAGTTAGAAAGTAAGGTGGTACAGTTATGAGGTGATTGAGACAGTGTGGTGTAGAGGTTTGCATATCAGACTGAAGTGATCTGGGTTTGAGTCCTCACTCAGGTTCACTGAGGTTCACTGAGCGACCTTGGTCCAGGCCTAGCCTACCCCACAGGGTTCTTGTGAAAATAAAATGGAGGTGAGCCACAGATGCTACCCTGAGCTTCTTGGAGGAAGAGAGGGGTTAGAATATTGGCAGGCAAGATGGATCACGTATTTTCAGATTGCACATGGAAGATCAGAATTTTAAAAAAATTGTCCCCTATAAAATCAGAACAAGAAGTATAAAGCCTTGAGCTATAACCTTTCTCAGATGGGCTAACATTCTTCTTTTCAAGGAGTTCCCCCCCCCCCCAATCTGTTTTCACATGTTACGCCCTGCCCATAGTAATACAACCCATTCTCCCTCATAACTCTAGCCTGTATCTTAGTACATCCCATCTTTATCCTTGGATGAAGGGCAGGGTCTCAAGGCAGCATATGTGATTCTCTCCTCCTGCACTTTATCACAGCAACCCTCTGAAGAAGGGTGGAGTGAGAGTGTGGGCAGTTGGCGCACAATCACCCATCAAGCTTCATATCTGCGTGAGGATTTGAATCCTGGTCTCCCCCAGCCCTAGTGTGGCAGTTCAACCGGTACTCCACACTGGCTGCCTCCTAATTTGCCTGCCTCTGTAGACCCACCCTGACATGTGAATGTTCAGGCTACAAGAAGTTCCTAGTTGCACCAAGGAATCTAAAACAGTTTTTTGTGCTGTTATCTCAGTGTACTGGCTGGCTTTTAGAAATCACTGTCCCCCCCCCCCAAAAAAAATCCAGTTTTCCAGAAATCCCCTTATTACATTTCTTCATTTGTAAAGTTTGAAATCAGGGTGGTGCCGCTGAAGCATCTTCCGTGCCCCACTGGCTAAACATGTGTTCATCTTTGGGTTTGGAATGAGATTTGCCACTCCCTTGTCAGCCGCCAGTTGAGTCCCCTATCCTCATTTATGTTTGGAGCAAAAATGTCTAGTTTTGCACACTGAGTCTGCGAATAAACGCAGCTGGTTTAGGCCTCTCTGGTGGTACCACCTATTGCTGTGCCTCCTATCAGGTTCCTTTTCCCCTTTTGGTGACCAGCAATGTTTCTCACCAGAAATAATGAAAATGGTACAGGACTGTTCCCACACAGACAGTTCCTCTGCCTTGGCCTCCTTAGAGCAGTGCAGAAGCATCTATGTGACACCATTCTGTGCTCATCCTGTGTCCATGTTTTCTCCCACTGTGTGGAGATCTTCCTCAAGATCCTTTTGGAATGATTGTAGTCAAAGCACCTTTGGCGGCCACATGGATGGGAAGATGTGCATTTTTGCATGTCCCACCCACATCAGTGCCATTTCCTTATCTCAGTCCCTGCTGTTGCCATTCTTCTTCCCTTCTCAGAGTTCTTCTTTGGGAGCTCTTTAAAAATGTGTAATTGCTAGGGCACTGTGGCATGATGACATTAGAACCATCTGTTGCAACAATATATTGATCTGGATCAGACTGAAGGCCCTTCTAGCTCAGGATCCCAGCCCTCCTGCCCTCCACAGCTAGTATTCAGGTACACAGCCTCTGAACATGGAAGTTCTATTCATGCATCATGTCTAAGAGCAGTCAATGGATCTGTCCCCTGAATCTGTCGCCTTTTAAAGTAGTCAAAGATAGCATCCATTGCTATCCTGTGGAGGAGGCAAAAATTAAATTGTGTCCAAGACAAGGGTGTGTGTGTGATGGGCAAGAGTAAGGGACCCAGCACTGCCACTCTTCTCCGCATGCGGTTCCTAATTTCTACCCTTGCCTGTTAAACCTGTGGAAAAACTTCTTTGCAGGTTCTCTGAAGGAAAACAGCATGGAAGCAAAAAGGTTAAGCATCTCCCTGGTCCTGGTTCTGTTCCTGATCCTGGCCTTGCAAATCTTATCCGCTGTCGACTTTGACCCGTATCGAATCCTGGGAGTCAGCAGGATGGCCAGCCAGGCGGACATTAAGAAAGCATATAAGAAGCTTGCCCGAGAGTGGTACGTGAGTCCAGAAATATAATTTGATCTCGCTTCTGGCCTAAAGACTGGCAGCCTGTTGCTTGCGAGACTTGTCAGCCTTTGCTGTCTCGTTACCTTGACCTGTGGCAGGGGAAAATGTTCTCTGACTATGGGGATAGAACCTAAAATAAGGACAGGGAAGAAGCTTTTGGAGAAGAGGGAGCCCCAAAAAAGCAGGGCCACCTCCAAGTAGCAGTAGGAAGCAGTCTTCCACAAAATCATAAGATACGTTGTTTTCCTTTTACTAGCACAGTTAGCATAAAGTCCAATTAGTGTAGGAATGATTGGGGTTGGATCCAGGCTGAATTAGCAGTTTCCATGGAATCCCCCCTTATGGTGTTCCTTGGGGTCCCTTTGTCCCCCCCAGGAGCACCGTTTTCTGAAGATCTGCAGGTTGCAGTGGGAGGGGCCACAGCCATAATAGGAAAGTTCCATTCCACTGATGGAGAATTCAGTCTATACATAAAACATGGTGGGATTGGGCTTTCCAGCAGGCTAGTAGCGGGCTACAGTTGGCAACCAAGCCCAGTGACCTGGTAGGGAGCGTGACCGCCAGTGTGCTAGCAGAGAGGATGAGAGCACGTGAACACAGGAAGCGGCCTTATACTGTATCAGACCATCGGTCCTTCAAAGTCAGTATTGTCTGCTCAGACTGGCAGCGGCTCTCCAGGGTCTCAGGCAGAGGTCTTCCACAGCACTTACTTTCAGGTCCTTTAACTGGGGAAGATGCTGGGGAAACCAGAGAGGAGGCATGGCAAGCAGAAGGGCTGGGGAAATAGGGAAGCTAAGAGACTGAGAAGGCCAGGAAAGAGAGTAGCTTAGAAGAGAAGGCCAAAGAAGCAGACGGAGCAGCTGCAGCCAGAGGAAGAGCCCCAACATTGAAAGGCTGAATGGAATTGCTGGGGAAGGGTGGGAAGATGTGAAAAAGCTTAGAGGGGCTGACAGGTTGTGCTCCAAGAAATGGTGGCGGGTGGAATGCTGGCCTGAACGTCAGGTATTACTTCAAAGTTACTAGTCGAGGTCTTGTCTCTGGTTCCAGCTCCTGCCAACCTAGCAGTTCGAAAGCAAGAAATTGCAAGTAAAATAGGTACCGCTTCGGTGGGGAGGTAACAGCGTTCCGTGCGCCTCGGCGTCTAGTCATGCCGGCCACATGACCACGGAAATGTCTTCGGACTGCACTGGCTCTTTGGCTTGGAAACGGAGATGAGCCCCGCAACCCTAGAGTCGGATTCGGCTGGCTTTCGAGCAAGGGAGACCTTTACGTTGTGTGACAAACGTCCTGCACACTAAAACGCACAGTCCAAATATCGGCCACAGTGAGTTTCATTCGGCAGAATGGATCTCTTCTGGGCATTGGACTTGGCTGGTCTTCACCCGGTGGAAACACGGAGCTGTTTGCCCATCGTGTCCCAGCTGTGCTGTAGGAAGAATTCTCTATGTGGATGTAATGCTTCTTGGTGTATGTTGACGTGGCTTCATTTCGAGGCCAACGTGTATAGATAGGGGAGGCACGTGTATGTTACTAAGTCTTTAACAGCTGTCCACGTACAAAGTCCATTCCAGTTCTTCTTTCTCAGTCTTCTGAGTGAGAAGAATGCCTTGCCCAGGGCCACGGTTGAATGGGGCTTTGAACCGGGATCTCCTGGGCCCCAAACTTACTCTCTCTGTAGGTCTGCTACAATGGACTGTATGTGAAATGCAGAAGGTGGCACAGGGAAGGACTGTGGCTCAGTGGTACAGGCAGAGGTCATTTCGGGGGGGAACGCAGTTCCCCCGGGTGAGGTACGGGGGGCGGGGCACATGACGAAGCCCCGCCCCCTGCTTCCGGCCGCCCCACTTCCGGCCCTCATTCAGCCAGGAGGAGGCAGGAGAAGAGGGAGGGTAAGTTGCTTCCTCCCTGCCTCTCCCCACCCCTGCCTGCCTGGGGCCAGGGAGG